CCGCCCATGGTACATGTAACGCGTCGAGCAGGGGAACGACTTCGGCTCGGGGAGTCAGGCCGACTCGCCAGGCCAGGTCCTGGTCACCCTCAGGACGACCGGTGTCCTCAGCCCAGAGTGCGAACACCGAGTCGTTAGAGTGGCGTGCGTGCAGGGGGTGTACGGTGGCTACCGGGGTGCGCCGTCGCAGTATCGCTGGGGAACTGTGGGGGTTAAACATCCGCATAAACAATCGGTCCCCATCTGCGTTTACCAACGTGGCGGATCCCACTATCCCATACCGTTTTGCCAACTCCGGGTGAGGAGTTAGCATTACCTCCCCTGATGGTCGGAGCGCGGGGTCGGTGGGGGATGTTGCCACCGGCACCAGCATCTCGGTGAGCGGGCCGATGGTGACTGCCGTCGCCAGGATAGCGGCCACAGGTGTGAAGCGGGGGCGCGTCGGTTCTCGTCCCAGGAACGGTATCCGCTCGCCGTTGCTCTCCACGGTGGCGCATCGCTGGCGGGGTTGCACGTTGAGTCCCAGCCGTTCTAAGAGGTCGGTACCTGCGATACACTCGTGACACAACGCACTCGACACGTAGAACTCCTGGGTGCACCCCTGGCTGCCTATGCGGACCTCTAAGGTGGCTCTCCCCAGCAGCCCCATTCCGGCTCCGCTCGCCGTGTGCAGCGCGCGGTCCGGTGCCTGCAGGTGACGCACGTCGACCCCGATCGCGCTGCAGTGCGCTGCGCTCACGAGCGAGGCCACCGCCCCCGTGTCCAGCAGGATTCGGGTACGCACTCCGTTTACCTCCCCTTCCACCAGCGACGTGGCCCCCGTGATCCCCGCCACCAGCTCCCGTAGCCAGTCGCCAGGAGTCACCGTTTCTGTGGGCGTTGTTGCTGGAACCTGTGTGGAGATCACTCGCTCGCCATTATTCTCATTATCGTCTATTTGTATCGGGACCGCGTCGATTGCACCCCTAGTTGGTCCGCTTTCTAGGGGGCGTTGGAGTTTAACCCCCGCGTCTGCCTAGCTCGGGTGATTTCAGGACAGTCTCTCACTAGATGCCCTCGGCGGTCGCACATATAACATGCCCGGGGAGGGGGGGCGGCTCCGTAGCGGGTCCCCTGTCCGCTCCCTCTCCCTCCCCCAGTACGCAGTTGTCCCACATCGGACTCTAATTGGGCTACTCTCCCGGCCAGCCCCCCTACGGTCGAGCGTAGTTCCCCCATCTCAGACTGGAGGGTCTTCATATTTTTATTCGCTTCCTCGCGTACCTGGGTTACCCTCTCACCTACGTGGGTTACCCTCTCCCCTACTTGGGTTACCTTACCGTCCATTCGGTCTACTCGGCCAGCAATATCTCCCATGCCGGTCTGTAACCCAGCTACCCAACCCGGGGTTGTCTCGCGGGGTTTCTGGGCCTCTCTTGCCCGTCTCCCTATGGGGCTGGCGGGCTCATCCTCATCCTCCTCCTCGTCAGGGATCAGGCTCGCCACAGTGTACTCCTGTCCCGACCCTCGGAGCTGCGCGCGTTCGCTGGAGAGCTCCTCACACTCCAGCCCTTGATCGACTAGGGTATCGAAAGGGAGGCCTGCGCTACTCTTTTTGGGCTGCCACCACGCGGTGCGAGCTAGGTACCTGAGTAGCTTGTCTGCAGCTAGCGCGTCAATGACCTCCTTCGAGAACTCTGGACGGGCGATCCGGGTTAGTGATCGCACGTCCTCAGCGTAGTCTCGGAAGTCCTCGCCAGTTTGGCGTCGGCGCGCCTCTAAGGCGGTCTTCGCCCGTATCGCGTTGCGCGTGCCGAAACGCAGGTCTAATCTACGCATTAGTTCTTCTAGTTGGGTTTGCGCGCTTTCGGGTAGTGCCTCTACAAAGTCGGCTGCCCGCCCATCTAAGTTTAACGTAAGATGTCGCAACGCCTGCGCGTCCGACCAGCCATTAAGCTCTTAAGCCCCTATGATATTACGGGAAAACGCTTTCCATGTAGGGGTCCCCTGGCCGGTGAACACATGCCTTACCTTTGCGTGGAGTAGCGCGCCACCTTCCCGTGAAGATGTGAGGGTTCGTCCCACTTCTGGCACCAAGTTGTTGGGGCCGCTGTTCCCCGAAGTCCCTCCCTGCTCCGTGCCTATGGCAGGGGCTCCGCCGTGCGCGAGCAGCTGCTGCCGTCGCTGGGCTCATCGCCCGACGGCTCCCCTCCCTGGTCCGTCCCTCCGCGAGCTCGTGTGAGAGGCATAGCTCGCCGCACACCCTCGTTCACCTGCAGACGCTGCGTTGTCTCTCCACGGATCACGCTCTATTAAACGGGGGTCAGGGGTCGGAGGGCGAACGACTCTGCCCTCACACTGCGCGAGTCCCGGCGGCGACAGACGGAGCGGGGACCTGCGGACGCACCGATCCCTTCCCCCACACTACGAGCGCACACACCTGCACACACGCGACACCCACTCGTGCGCCGCTCTACGCAGCGCTCACTCACGTGGCGAACCACGGTGTACACACGCGCACCCACACGTTCCCACTGCTCAACAAGATCACGCGAGGCCACGCTTCGCTATTAATGATTTATTATTTGCTAACTGCGAATTGATGTTAAATCAGTTTGAGTCGACGAGGCTGGCCTATTCCACTAAACCTGTACCTATCCCCTATCTATCGGCTAGTCTCCTACTTCACCTCCCCACTCACTGTTTGATGCCCACGGTGGTTCGCTGCTCCCTGTGCTAACAGCGCACCTCGATGCGTCGCACGGACGTCCGGGTCGCTGGCTGGAGCTGCGGGTGGTCCTCTGGCCTGGAGAGAAGAGAGCGATTTCCCCTCTGCGCCCCTCTATTTATCCTCCCTACCTCAAAGGGGATGCTGCGCTGAACAATGGGCTCGCGCACCCCGAGCCCGCGCACGGCGGTTCCGGGCGCTGTTGATATGCTAATCAGTGAGCGACGTTGGCGGCGTACATCCTAATTAACCCCTTACCCTCCCTAACAATGGGGCCTGCGCGCTCAAGCGCAATTATCCCAACCCTCCATGACTATGCGCAACAGCCCCTGTGATCCCGCTATTCATGCTGTCCCGTGCCTCCCCTGCTTGCCCCGTCGACTCGTGGGGGTGTGTGTGGGGGGAAATGCGCCTCAACCGCGGTGGCCGAATGCCCCACGCCGCGACCACACCATATTAAGGCCGGCCGCAGCGCCGCGGTGCCACGTAGCACGGGGGAGGTCATCCAATTCCCTGATCGCCGGAAACCGTGAGAATTAATCCCGATAAGGGTCTCTCGGATAAAAACCGGTCGGCCAGGCGACCTCCCCTTGGAGCTCTATGGGGGGGGGGGAAATGAGTGCGGGTGTGTTCATGTGAGGTGAGGTGAGGGGGACGCGGGGTCGGCTCCGTTGCTTGGTGGTGGCGAGGTCGGGGATTTGGTGCCTGCCGAACGGCTTCGTGGCGGCGGCATCACAGTAAGACATCTGGCCACCTGTGTTCTTAATTATCCCTTCACAACCTGTTCTCTTTCTAATTTCTCTCACCTCATATTCTCTCAATCTTTAATAGCTCTGTGTAACGTGTCTTTCTTCATTTAGTCCCCTAAACATTGTACCTACTCTGGCATTGCGTTGTGGACAAAGGGATGAGCGCGCCGGTGTACACACACGGTGAGATGCTGGACAGTGTCACACTAGTTATCGTATGGCCGCTGGCTAACACCATTGGCTTCCGTTGCTAGACTAGGGTGGCGTGTGTCGCAGTGCGGATGGTGTTATTCCGAAAAATACTTTGCGCGTGTCAATAAAAGGTCTAAATACAAAGCGCGGCGTTGCAAAATGGCGTACTACAAAAGTGTGTAAACCGAGGATTGCTTTTATTCATAACATTCATTTCTCAGGACTACGTTGGGGTCAGGCAAGGAAAGGGTGGTAACTTTGTTGAAACTAAATTCAACCAGGAGGAGGAGGGGGTGGAGGGTTTAACAGCAGCCAACAAAATGTTGAGAACTGCCGATTTTAGACCGAACCCCCCCCCCCCCCTCTCGCTATTCGGTCACACATGAAGAGCCGGGTCACACCAGAAACCCTTCGCAAAGTGTCACCTTCGAACTTTGCCCCAAGCCACTCTTGTCACCTGGGTCCGTGGGGTTCTGCGCAAGCACCGAACTTCGGACTACTTTTTTTGTAGGGGCAAAAATGTCGTGGCCGCACAGCGGGGTTAATGAATGGTCCATATTATAGCTTTTTTGTTTTGGGTGAGATCGCATAAATATAAATGTCGTTAACCCGCCACCATAGCCACTTAGTAAAGTTTGTCACGTAAACAGAACATGGCAATTAGTTGCTAGTACACCATACAATTCGAGTACGACGTTTCGCCAGTAATTACAACTAGATTTGAAGCTTTTGTGACTGCAGGAATCCATACTCTCTGATTCTTTCGGTAAAGCCACGTATTTTATTTTCTGCCTACGTGGCTTTACCGGAAGAACCAAAGAGTACGGATTCCTACAGTCACAAAAGCTTCAAATCAAGAGTGAACCGCCTCTATGGGGGGGATTTTCACACATCTGTTAGAGCTTTTAACAGACTACGAGACAAAAAGGCTCACATGATCGAGTCTCTCACCTTTCTGGAGAGATACTGCGAAAACAAGGTAATACTGACAAACTGAAATAATCCCTTGTTCGTTGCAGCTTTCTCGCCATTTTCGCCTGATGGCGGATGCTTGTGTTGCATTCGAAACGCCGTGATTTATTGAGAGGAGTGAGAGTACTGGAGTCTTGAGAGTATTGAGGAGTGCTGGAATATTGAGTGCTGGAGTATTGAAACTACTGGACTTTTGGGAGTATTGATAGTGCTGGAGTATTGAGAGCATGCACACACTTCTTACACACATACACTGCACACCCACACTCCGCATGCATACACACGCTTCATACACACAAACACGCTCCGCACACACATGCTCCATACAACCAAACACACTCTGCACATTCACACAACAAACACACTTAGAGAAGTTTAGTCGACTGCATTTTATTTTCCTGAAGCTTCTAAACGTAGAAATTCAACAACAAAAGCCATGGTAAACTCTGCAAACCAACCAAAGAAACCCATTTACCACACTGAACAGAAGAAAGTAAAGCCGCATGTTTAAATCCATTCCCAGACATTGGAGTAAATTTCACCTCAATGCACAATACTATAGCGGAGTATTATTAGACAGTTTTTAACATAGGCCATTGTGGACATGAAGGCAGTGGGATGCATCCCAGTTCCAGGGCGTGAACCCAGGATTCCAGCAGTGCTGGCTCAGTGTCCCTGACACGGCCCATTACGAAACCTCCTGAGACACCCAGACCCAGGTCTTGAACTCAGGCTCACGTAATTGATGGCTTCACTGTCTATGGACAACGGCCACTATGAACCTCCTAAGACACCTAGACGCGGGTGTTGAACTTAGGCACTCTAAATTCATGGCTTCAGTGTCTATGGACACGGCCACTATGAACCTCCTGAGAAACCCAGACCCAGGTCTTGAACTCAGCAGCTCGGCATTGATGACTTCAGTGTAATACGGCCACTATGAACATGACACTTATCATTGTAAACACATACTGAGGCAGAAATTGCGTTACCGAACGTAAAGTTTTGACTTGACCATCACTGTACAGCTCGTGACGCTGTGTGAACTACAAAATGTGCAGTGAGAAATTGCGAAAGTGTTCTTTGTATAGAAAGTCAAGACCATAATCCTGCACAGCTCAAAACAAGGCATAACCCTATGTTAAACTAAGACCCCATAGAGCATAGATAGGGTTCCTTGTCTATGAACATCTGGACAATTCGCCAGCATTGGTTCAGGCAGAGCCTGACTGCTGCTGCTGCTGAGACACCAAATGGCAAACCCCAGTCCAGAGCTTTGCTTCTGCTGAACCAATGCTGCTGAAATCACCCACTTCCAGAAGGCCGTGCGACTGGTGTGTAGGTCGTATGAGAAATACTTTTTATTTTTTAACGCAGAGAGACGGGGGAATATTATGCAAAGGAGCCCGTAGCGTCTTGCTTAATTTAGCATGAATTGTTGATCGGTTTGCTTTTTAAGCCTTGGGTGATTTTTACCACTTCAAACCCAGGATCTTTCGACACCTATGGTTGCGGAGTGTCTCCAATGCGGCAATTATTAGGGGCGCCACGATGGCTCAGAGATGTTAACCAACTCGGGTGAAATGCAGTGGCTAGTGGGTTCGATCCAGACCCTGACGCCTGCTGTACATTTGGAGTTTGCGTGTCTCTCTCATCATCACGGTGGCTATGAGATGTTAACTACCTCGCCTGGTATACAGGAGATCGTGGGTTAGATCCCGACCCTGATGCCTTCTGTACATTTGGAGTTTGCGTGTCTCTCTCTCTGTGGTCGCGTGGCTTTTTCTTCTCCGGGTCCTCGCTTTTTTTCCTCCACATTTATAATCAATATCAAACATTTAGAGTAGTTGGCTGCTGCTATAAATGTCCAGGCGATGATAAGCCCACTTCGTTGTGATAGCCAGGTCAGGGCTTTGAAAAAGAGCTACACAGCTCAATGGGGCCTTACACCTGGTAAAATAAAAAAAATAGTTTTATAGTTTATGAGCTTCATCACAGATAATTACAGGGGCCAGACATCCCAGACACTTGAACTGAATCTACCACTCATGGTATAATCTCTGACAATGACTTTGCTTTTCAACATGCGTCAACCTTCCGGTCTTACCCAGAAATGTTTGTGGATACAACTCACCCTTCTCACCCATCCCGTAAGCCCACGATTTCTTGTAACAATTGTTAACCCATGAAAATCTGACCTCTGTTTTTGCAGGAAGTTTTGTTTATTTCCCCCAAATAAGGAAACGTAGTTGCTGTTGCTGCTGCTACTGTTGACAGCAAGTCGTCGATTGACGTCGGTTCACTTCAAGGTCGCCAACAAAACTTTAGGGGGAGACGTAACTCCAGGCAAACATGAGTCGATTCACTCGCAATGGGTTGTTTTGAGAAACTGATGGAATAGAGCGCGGCGGGTGGGGGGTGTGGAGGCAGAGCGCAGCGTCATGGAGGGGCAGTGCAGGGTACAGTAGGGGTGGTGTGGGGTACAGTAGGGCAGTGCAGGGTACAGTAGGGCAGTGCGGGGTACAGTAGGGGTGGTGTGGGGTACAGTAGGGGTGGTGTAGGGTACAGTAGGGGTGGTGCGGGGTACAGTAGGGCAGTGAAGGGCAGAGGTGTGGACTCGAGTCATGTGACTTGGACTCGAGTCAGACTCGAGTCATGAATTTGATGACTTCAGACTCGACTTGGACTTGCATAACAATGACTTTGTCCCACCTCTAGTGAAGGGTACAGTAGGGCAGTGCGGGGTACAGTAGGAGTGGTGTGGGGTACAGTAGGAGCAGTATGGGGTACAGTAGGAGTGGTGTAGGGTACAGTAGGAGTGGTGTGGGGTACAGTAGGAGCAGTATGGGGTACAGTAGGAGTGGTGTAGGGTACAGTAGGGCAGTGCAGGGTACAGTAGGGCAGTGCGGGGTACAGTAGGGCAGTGCAGGGTACAGTAGGAGCTGTGCAAGGTACAGTAGGACAGTGCAGGGTACAGTAGGGCAGTGCAGGGTACAGTAGGGCATAGCAGGGTACAGTAGGGCAGTGCAGGGTACAGTAGGACAGTGCAGGGTACAGTAGGGCTGTGCAAGGTACAGTAGGGCAGTGCAGGGTACAGTAGGGCAGTGCAGGGTACAGTAGGGGCTGTGCAAGGTACAGTAGGGGCGGTGCAGCGATGCTCGAAGACACAAGATGCGACGAGCCATGAGTGACAGTGGATGAAGGCTGTTATGCTAATAGTAAGGAATAACATTGGAGTTAAATTGATACTGATGTTAATGTATAAGAAAAGTTATAGGATGGGGATAGTAATTTATAGGATTGTGGTTATACTATGGGGATGGTAATGTATAGGATTGCGGTTAACAGGATGCTGATGTTAATGTATAAGCAAAGCGGTTATATGATGGGGATGGTCATTTATAGGATTGCGGTTATAGTATGGGGATGGTGATGTATAGGATTTTGGTTTTGGATTGAGAATGGTAACGTACACGATAGCGGTTAACAGGAAGCTCGTGATGGTGGCCAGGTAACCGACTGGGCTACAGCTTTCCTGCGTCGACGTTCGTCTTCAGCAGCTGATTGGCGGCTTTCACGCAGAGTGCCAGGTCCACAGCTGGAAGGACATCGATCAGCAACATCGTCATCATCAGTAACATGATCATCAACATCGTCAGCAACATTGTCGTCATCATCAGAAACATCAGCAACATCATCAGCAACATCGTCATCAGCAACACCATCAGCAACATCGTCATCATCAGCAACATCGTCATTATTAGCATCATCGTCGTCATCATCATCATCAGCAACATCGTCATCATCAGCAACATCGTCATCATCAGCAACATCGTCATCAGCAACATCGTCGCTATCAGTAACATCATCATCAGAAACATCGTCGTCATCGTCATGAACATCACCATCAGCAACATTGTCACTCACCTCGTCACACCACACTCACCCACACAGCCAGGCCGAGGCCTTGAAACCCAACAGCTCCCACTCCTCACCTCATCAAGGTCACTTCGTCACCTTCACCTCGTCACCTTCACCTCGTCACCCTCACCTCGTCACCCTCTCCACACTCACCTTGCCCACGCAGCCAGGCCGAGGCCTTGAGTGCCAGCAGCTCCCACTCGTCGTGGTGGTCTGGGGCCAGCGCGTGCAGCCACACCAGGGCCACCACCGTGGCCCACACCTCGTCGCTCACGCCCTGCACCTCGTCACACACACAAACTCCTCATCACACACACAAACTCCTCATCACACACACAAAGACACATATCTAGTGAGGGAGTCTCTCACCAGAAACACTCACTACTAGCTAGTGATAGTGAATGAAGTATTTTACTAAAAACACTCACTACTAGCCAGTGGTAGTGAAGGGAGTCTCACTAGAAACACTCACTACTAGTCAGTGGTAGTGAAGAGAGTCTCACTAGAAACACTCACTACTAGTCAGTGATAGTGATGGGAGTCTCACTAGAAACACTCACTACTAGTCAGTGATAGTGATGGGAGTCTCACTAGAAACACTCACTACTAGTCAGTGATAGTGAAGGGAGTCTCACTAGAAACACTCACTACTAGTCAGTGATAGTGAAGGGAGTCTCACTAGAAACACTCACTACTAGTCAGTGATAGTGAAGGGGGTCTCACTAGAAACACTCACTACTAGTCAGTGATAGTGAAGAGAGTCTCACTAGAAACACTCACTACTAGTCAGTGATAGTGAAGAGAGTTTCACTAGAAACACTCACTACTAGTCAGTGACAGTGAAGGGAGTCTCACTAGAAACACTCACTACTAGTCAGTGATAGTGATGGGAGTCTCACTAGAAACACTCACTACTAGTCAGTGATAGTGAAGGGCGACTCTCACTAGAAACACTGACTAGCCAGTGGTAGTGAAGGGAGTCTCACTAGAAACACTCACTACTAGTCAGTGATAGTGAAGGGAGTCTCTCACTAGAAACACTCACTACTAGTCAGTGATAGTGAAGGAAGTTTCACTAGAAACACTCACTACTAGTCAGTGAGACAGTGAAGAGAGTCTCTCACTAGAAACACTCACTACTAGTCAGTGGTAGTGAAGGGGGTCTCACTAGAAACACTCACTACTAGTCAGTGACAGTGAAGGGAGTCTCACTAGAAACACTCACTACTAGCCAGTGGTAGTGAAGAGAGTCTCACTAGAAACACTCACTACTAGCCAGTGATAGTGAAGAGAGTCTCTCACTAGAAACACTCACTACTAGTCAGTGGTAGTGAAGGGAGTCTCACTAGAAACACTCACTACTAGCCAGTGGTAGTGAAGGGAGTCTCACTAGAAACACTCACTACTAGCCAGTGGTAGTGAAGGGAGTCTCACTAGAAACACTCACTACTAGCCAGTGGTAGTGAAGAGAGTCTCACTAGAAACACTCAGTACAAACCAGTGGTAGTGAAGGGAGTCTCTCACCGCAGGAGCTTCCTTGCGCAGTGCCTCCTCGCTCGACTGGACGACCGAGGCCAGCTGGGCGGACAGCTCCCAGGCCCCGTGGGCCCTCTGCAGGTCGACGAGCTCCAGGAAGGGCAGCACGGCCGGAGTCTCCGGAGTGAAGACACCGTATGGGCAGTCATATTCGTTGGATATTGCTGCGTATACATCGCATTCTAGAGTGGAGCCAAAGCGGAGCGGGAGAGACGCACTGCCGTCACGCATCATCGTGTGTCTGCGCGCGTCCGTGTCGTGTTGCGTGCGCGCATCTGCGCGTGTGTCGGTGTTATTTAAACCGGTTCCTGGGCCTCCCCCTAGGGTCGATTCGGCCTCAAATGAGTACCTGGTGCAGTGTGTTGTAGTAAACATCGCCACTGGGGAGACAAAGGCGGTTGGGCATGGTGCTGGCCACCCACTCCCTTATGTGGGGTGGGTGGCCAGCACCATGCCCAAACAGCACTTGCCGCTACAGTCTATTCCAGGCTATACGGGGGAATCTTTGTCTTTGTTAAGTGTGTCTCCTTGTCTGTCTGTACGTGTTTGTGAGTGTCTATCTATGTGGGGGAGTAGTTGTGTAGTAGTGGTTAGCACTACGCTGCTTAATTAACCCGGCGACCTGATTTCAATTCTCGCTCATGGCCAACATCAGTGACGATCATCTGAACCGGTCCTGAGCCTCCCCTAGGTCGACTCAGCCTCAAATGAGTACCTGATGCGATGTGTAAACATCGCACTAGGGAGACAAAGGCGGCCAGGCTTGGTGATGGTCACACATCCCTTCGTGTACTGTGCCTACATGGGTTGTCTTTGTGTGTAACGTACATAAAATATGTAACGTCCACGTTAGGAATCTCGCGGGAAAGCCACAGCTCCCACCGAAAAGGCGTCAATTATCAATGGGTGCATCTGGACTGCAAAAAAACCAACCATATTCCAGTGGAGCGCTCTTCTTGAAGGATGCAATGATTCTTGTGAACGGATTCCTCTTCATTTCCTTCACTACGAAGATGCAAAGAAACCACCACCCCCCCAACAAAAAAAGTCAAACCCAATAAAACTCTTGACGTTGAATTCTCAGGAGCTGGAATTTGGCCACTGAAATTCTCAGGAGCACTGAATGCCAAATCACGATCGCAAAGCAACACTGCTGAAAGCGATCACATTGTTAAAACAATTAAAATACCATACATCTCAAAATACCATATATCTCTAACTGACAAATTAGCCCGTGTTTTGCAAAAGCAAAACATTACAGTAAGATTTGGTACAGTACACAACATTTTAAAAACTAGCATCTTGCACGAAAGACGAATTACCTAAATTATCAACAGAAGGTGTATATCGGATTAATTGTTTATGTGGCAGATGCTATATTGGACAGACGGGACGTAACATCAGCATAAGACTAACAGAACACCAAATAAATATTTAATTATCTCAAACACAACTGTCGGCAGTGGCAGAACACGCTTGCCAACAAAGACACTCAATTGATTTTGATAACGTTGAAGTGTTGTGTAAAACTAATTATGGCTGGTAAAGACTAATTAGAGAATCCATTGAAATTGAGAGAAATAGAAATCACTTTAATCGCTCTGACAGCTACAGGCTTAGTGTGGTATTGCAGCATATTATTAAATATTACATATTATAATTCCTTATAGGGGAAACACATACTAATTAACTGATTACTAATGTAGTATATAATTACAATAACACACATTACAAATAATTACTAATCAACAACTTATTACTAATCATAATAATTAACTGATTACCAATCTATTATATAATTACAATACCCCCCTCTGCCTCAAATCACAGCACCTGATGAGTTCAATGATGACGTCACCCTGCTGCTGCTCTATTTAAGACCGGGAGCAAGTGAGGGCTTCACCATTCTGGCAAATTGCCCGATGATGCTGGATGTAATTACAAGCAAAAGGTCGTACTAAAACATTGTAAATGTTATGGATTCACTCTTCAAAACACCGGTGGGCTAAAGTAGTGAACTATTTGTATTTTGTCAACGTGACACATGTTTTACTGTTTGGCCGTGTCGGGTGGTGGAGGGGTACGACACATTTATAAATAACCCAAAAACGTTTATTATGAACATTGACATACCCACAGCCAGATACACCAACTGACTTACCCACAGACAGACAAACTGACTAACTGACCCACAGACAGACACACCGAATGACTGACAGATATACCCACAGATTTATTGACCCACACGCTGACTGACAGAACCACCTACCCACAGACCGATCACACAAAGCCTCCCACCCCCCCTCCCCCCACTTCTAACCTGAACCACCGAAGAGGTGATGGCGTGGGGTGGGGCGCTCCTGCATGGCGGCCCCTAGTGGCTGGTGGGAGTCGGTGTCCACTCCGACGAAGGCCGTGTAGGGGGACACGACGCCCGATTCCACGCTCAGCGCCACCACTCGCTCCCGGCGAGACTTGGCCTCCTTCTCCGCCTTCTTCTTCTTCTGCTCCGCATCACCCGGCACCGGCGTAGAGTAGGGGGCGTTGGGACCCGACACGAGGTGGCGGATCATCGCCTTGGCTGCGAGCCAGTGCAGGGTGGCACTGGGAGAGGTTACGGTGGAGGGGTTGCAGAGGCTCACTCACTCTGAGCCAAGAACCGCTCGTTGAGTCTCACTCCCTGGGTCTGGCTGAGCTGCTGCTCCTTGGTTCTGTCATGTTGCTGGGTTCCCCTCATCTGCTTCATCAAGTGAATGGTTTCAGTACGATGATTGATGATCTTGAAAATCATCATCATCATCATCTAACGTCTGGGAACCTCGGGGTAATTTTTTATCCCGCCATGAAATTTTGAGTGCCATCCAAGGAAACTTGAGGTCTCCTCCTTCTGTCACCCGTTCAGAGTGAGAGTCTCACTCTCCCTGAGTCTCACTCCAGACTCTGACCATGAGACAGGGAATGAAAGTGATGGCACTAAGATTAAACAGTGTGGAAAGCAGCAACTGAGAGCAGAGTGTAAAGGGAGTTGAAGTTTCGAGTTGGATTTTTGTGAGTCCAGGTGAGAAATAACGAGATCAGGGATGAGCTTCACTCGCAAGTGCGGGTGAATGAGTGGGAGAGAATTAGTGTGTGGGTGGATAATCGAGCAGGTGGGTGAATGAGTGGGTAAATAAGTGGGTGGGCGAATGAGCAGGTTGATTAATGAATGGGTGAATGGGTGGGTGGGTGAGTGAACGAGCAGGTGGGTGAATTAATGGGTGGGTGAATGAATGGGTGGGTGGGTGAATGGGTGGGTGAACGAGTGGGAGGTTGAATTAGCGGGTGGGTGAACAAGCGGGTGGGTGAACGAGCAGATTGGTGATGAGTGGGTGGGTGTACCAGCGAGTGAGTGAAAGAGTGGGTGGGTAAAGTAACGGGTGGGTGAACGAGCAGGCGGTTGAATCAGTGGGTGCGTGAACGAGTGGATGGGTGACCGAGCGGGTGGGTGTTTAAACGGGTGCGTGAATGAGCGGGAGGTTGAATCAGCGGGTTGGTGAACGAGTGGGTAGGTGAACCAGTGAGTGGGTGAACTAGCGAGTGGGCGAATGTGCGAGTAGGTGAACGAGCGGGAGGTTGAATCAGCGGGTGTGTGAGTGAGCGGGTGGGTGAACGAGCGGGGGGGGGGGGGTGGGGAGGAGGAATGAATGGGTGGGTGAACGAGCGGGTGGATGAACGAGAAGATTGGTCATGAGTGGGTGTGTGAACAAGCGAGAGAGTGAATGAGTGGGTGGGTGAAGTAACGGGTGGGTGAACGAGCGGGAGGTTGAATCAGCGGGTGGGTGAACGAGCAGGTGGATGAACGAGTGGGTGGGTGAATGAGCGGGTTGGTGAATAAGTGGGTGGGTGGGTGGGTTAATGAGCAGGTGGGTGAATGAGGGGAGCTACGTACCTGGACTCGTCGGGGTTTGCGGTCTGGCTGGTGATGGGAACCCGGTTCTTCATGGACTTCCCACATAGGGAGTACTTGAGCACTGCCTCGCCCTGCCATGGGGCAGCCGGAGCCTGCAGAGATGAGAGGCTCAGTCCGGGAGTCTGACCCTGAGACTCAGTCGCTCCCTGAGTCTCATTCTGAGCCAGAGACCTGGTCACACCAAGTCTCACTCTGACCCAGGGACCCGGTCACACCAAGTCTCACTCTGACCCAGGGACCCGGTCACCCCGAATCTCACTCTGAGCCAGAGACTTCAAGTCTCACTTCAGACTCTGACCCTGAGACCCGGCCCTCCTGACGCTCAATTAGACTTGTCCCCATGTTTCGCCGTGTCTAACCACGTCCCCGTGTCCCCGCGTGTTGCGTGTGGTCTCACAGTGCCAGCGAGCTGTGCGTAGAGGATGGTTCGCTCGCCCAGGAAGATGCTGCGCGGCACCTCGGGCACCACGATGGCCGACAGGCCCCGGGGGAGGCTCCAGGAGAGCGACACGGAGGTCAGTGTGGGCTGGAGAGCGCACTTCAGGGCCTTCAGCACCTGGGGTGATGGGCGCGGAGATGCAGACAGAGTGAGGGAGATAGAGGGAAAGACAAGTAAAGGGGTGAGGGAGGAAGGGAGGGATGGTGGCAGGGAGAGGGATGCAGAGGGATAGGACGGAAGATGGCGAGACAAGTAGAGGGAGAAGGGGAGATGGACCGAGTGGTGGGGAGATGGAGATGGAGTGAGATACTGTAGAGGGAGGGAGATGGAGGGAGGGAGATTGAGAGAGATGGACAGAGTGAGAGGGGAGTGGTAAGAGGGAGTGAGAGGGAACGACAGAGGCAGAAGGGGTGGGGGGGAGAATAAGAGAGAGTGAGGGATAGGGAGGGAGACTGGGAGGTTTAAGAAAATGGTCACTGGTGTTGGCCGTGAGCTGGAACCGAACTGAACCGGTCCTGGGTCTCCCCTCGGTCGAAAGACTGAGAGACACATAGACACAGAGAGAGAGAGAGAAAGACAGAGACAGAGAGGGACACAGACACAGCGACAGAGAGACACAGAGACAAAGACAGATTGATACAAAGACAGAGAAACACGGAGAGGGACACAGAGACAAAGAGAGAGAGAGAGAGACAGAGAAAGACAAAGACATAGAGAGAGACAGAGAGACTTAGTGACAAAGAGACAGAGACACAGAGAGATACCAAGACAGAGAGACACAGAGACAGACAGCCAGAAGGAGGCAGAGAGAGACACAGAGACAAAGACAGATACACAGAGACAGAGAGACACAGACACAGAGAGAGACAGAGAAAGAAATAGTGGTAGACAGAGAAAAACAGAGATACGGAGAGAGACAAATACACAGAGTAACAGAGAGACAGAGAGATATCAAGACAGAGGGATACAGTGACAGACAGCCAGAGAGAGAAAGAGACACAGAAACAGACAAAGACAGAGAGAGACAGAGACACAGATATATTGATACAAAGACAGAGATACACAGACAGACAGCCAGAGAGAAAGAAGGCAGAGAAACAGAGAGACGCACAGACCCCGGGCTTCCGAGCGGCACTGTCTCAGCTGCGGGGTCTCCGTGTTGGCGGTTTTCAGTCTGAGCGGAGCTAGGGGTGCACGGTGCTCACCTTGCCCTGCAGGCGCTCCGTTCCGGTGATGAACTCGGCTGTCCCTCCTCCGCTGGCGGCGATCCCCTTGATCAGCTCCGTGGAGGCACCGTCACCGATTCCAAAGGAGAAGCAGCTAGAGACACACAGACAAACACAGACACACAGACACACATATATACATAACAACTGCCATTCGCCACGAAGTGGCGGTGACATGACCAAGGCACTTGTGCCAGGCTCTATGCACATTGCGGTCACGTGACGTGTTAAACGCCAGCTGGCAGGAGGTCACGGGACATACCCAGGTGCCACGGGCCGACTGACTGAGATGACTGGCCGATGCACCACCTGTGCCCCCTACTGTGCCAACTTGTGAGCGTCGCTCCTCTGAGTGAGCAGCAATCACCAGATCATCAGCAAACTTAACATGGTTGACCAATAAGGAGTCATCCGTTAACTGTACCCGGGCATCGATCACCCTCCCATTGTATGTGTTCCAGATAGAAATTCCTCCAGTACAGCCATCAAAGACTTCACGAACTACTTCGTTGGAATAGATGTAAACTAATGTGAGAGCCAAATGACATCCTTGTCGCACCCCAAGGTGAACAGGGAATGGGTCCGACTCCCGGCCATGTAGTTTTACCCGGGCCTGCCCACCATCATGAAGGTCATTAATGATTGTGAGCAGAGAGTCATGGATTTTGAAAGCAAAAATGAAAACCAAAAGACCAGGCCTACTGATGGTATCACACGCCTTGAACAGGTCAATATACTATGGGGACCTCATTTGCCAGTAAAAATATGATAATTGGTTCTTTACCCTTCTATCTGGCAACAAAACTGACACCTTTTTGCAAGGAGTCATGTTTGCATAGACCGCAATACCTGCAGTCATAATACAAACAAAAGAACATAACTCTGATAATGTGCACTGTCCTTGAAGTTGATTGGTCCACACCCGAGACAGCTTTCCTTAGAGCCTAGTCTCATATGGGTTGGACCAGATGACGCCAAAAGGCGCACAACTCAAGGACAATGCACCATCAGAGTATGAGAGCTCGGGGCAAGCATCTACACTATGGGGACCTCATTTGCCAGTAAAAATATGATAATTGGTTCTTTACCCTTCTATCTGGCAACAAAACTGACACCTTTTTGCAAGGAGTCATGTTTGCATAGACCGCAATACCTGCAGTCATAATACAAACAAAAGAACATAACTCTGATAATGTGCACTGTCCTTGAAGTTGATTGGTCCACACCCGAGACAGCTTTCCTTAGAGCCTAGTCTCATATGGGTTGGACCAGATGACGCCAAAAGGCGCACAACTCAAGGACAATGCACCATCAGAGTATGAGAGCTCGGGGCAAGCATCTACACTATGGGGACCTCATTTGCCAGTAAAAATATGATAATTGGTTCTTTACCCTTCTATCTGGCAACAAAACTGACACCTTTTTGCAAGGAGTCATGTTTGCATAGACCGCAATACCTGCAGTCATAATACAAATAAAAGAACATAACTCTGATAATGTGCACTGTCCTTGAAGTTGATTGGTCCACACCCGAGACAGCTTTCCTTAGAGCCTAGTCTCATATGGGTTGGACCAGATGACGCCAAAAGGCGCACAACTCAAGGACAATGCACCATCAGAGTATGAGAGCTCGGGGCAAGCATCTACACTATGGGGACCTCATTTGCCAGTAAAAATATGATAATTGGTTCTTTACCCTTCTATCTGGCAACAAAACTGACACCTTTTTGCAAGGAGTCATGTTTGCATAGACCGCAATACCTGCAGTCATAATACAAACAAAAGAACATAACTCTGATAATGTGCACTGTCCTTGAAGTTGATTGGTCCACACCCGAGACAGCTTTCCTTAGAGCCTAGTCTCATATGGGTTGGACCAGATGACGCCAAAAGGCGCACAACTCAAGGACAATGCACCATCAGAGTATGAGAGCTCGGGGCAAGCATCTACACTATGGGGACCTCATTTGCCAGTAAAAATATGATAATTGGTTCTTTACCCTTCTATCTGGCAACAAAACTGACACCTTTTTGCAAGGAGTCATGTTTGCATAGACCGCAATACCTGCAGTCATAATACAAACAAAAGAACATAACTCTGATAATGTGCACTGTCCTTGAAGTTGATTGGTCCACACCCGAGACAGCTTTCCTTAGAGCCTAGTCTCATATGGGTTGGACCAGATGACGCCAAAAGGCGCACAACTCAAGGACAATGCACCATCAGAGTATGAGAGCTCGGGGCAAGCATCTACACTATGGGGACCTCATTTGCCAGTAAAAATATGATAATTGGTTCTTTACCCTTCTATCTGGCAACAAAACTGACACCTTTTTGCAAGGAGTCATGTTTGCATAGACCGCAATACCTGCAGTCATAATACAAACAAAAGAACATAACTCTGATAATGTGCACTGTCCTTGAAGTTGATTGGTCCACACCCGAGACAGCTTTCCTTAGAGCCTAGTCTCATATGGGTTGGACCAGATGACGCCAAAAGGCGCACAACTCAAGGACAATGCACCATCAGAGTATGAGAGCTCGGGGCAAGCATCTACACTATGGGGACCTCATTTGCCAGTAAAATATGATAATTGGTTCTTTACCCTTCTATCTGGCAACAAAACTGACACCTTTTTGCAAGGAGTCATGTTTGCATAGACCGCAATACCTGCAGTCATAATACAAACAAAAGAACATAACTCTGATAATGTGCACTGTCCTTGAAGTTGATTGGTCCACACCCGAGACAGCTTTCCTTAGAGCCTAGTCTCATATGGGTTGGACCAGATGACGCCAAAAGGCGCACAACTCAAGGACAATGCACCATCAGAGTATGAGAGCTCGGGGCAAGCATCTACACTATGGGGACCTCATTTGCCAGTAAAAATATGATAATTGGTTCTTTACCCTTCTATCTGGCAACAAAACTGACACCTTTTTGCAAGGAGTCATGTTTGCATAGACCGCAATACCTGCAGTCATAATACAAATAAAAGAACATAACTCTGATAATGTGCACTGTCCTTGAAGTTGATTGGTCCACACCCGAGACAGCTTTCCTTAGAGCCTAGTCTCATATGGGTTGGACCAGATGACGCCAAAAGGCGCACAACTCAAGGACAATGCACCATCAGAGTATGAGAGCTCGGGGCAAGCATCTACACTATGGGGACCTCATTTGCCAGTAAAAATATGATAATTGGTTCTTTACCCTTCTATCTGGCAACAAAACTGACACCTTTTTGCAAGGAGTCATGTTTGCATAGACCGCAATACCTGCAGTCATAATACAAACAAAAGAACATAACTCTGATAATGTGCACTGTCCTTGAAGTTGATTGGTCCACACCCGAGACAGCTTTCCTTAGAGCCTAGTCTCATATGGGTTGGACCAGATGACGCCAAAAGGCGCACAACTCAAGGACAATGCACCATCAGAGTATGAGAGCTCGGGGCAAGCATCTACACTATGGGGACCTCATTTGCCAGTAAAAATATGATAATTGGTTCTTTACCCTTCTATCTGGCAACAAAACTGACACCTTTTTGCAAGGAGTCATGTTTGCATAGACCGCAATACCTGCAGTCATAATACAAACAAAAGAACATAACTCTGATAATGTGCACTGTCCTTGAAGTTGATTGGTCCACACCCGAGACAGCTTTCCTTAGAGCCTAGTCTCATATGGGTTGGACCAGATGACGCCAAAAGGCGCACAACTCAAGGACAATGCACCATCAGAGTATGAGAGCTCGGGGCAAGCATCTACACTATGGGGACCTCATTTGCCAGTAAAAATATGATAATTGGTTCTTTACCCTTCTATCTGGCAACAAAACTGACACCTTTTTGCAAGGAGTCATGTTTGCATAGACCGCAATACCTGCAGTCATAATACAAACAAAAGAACATAACTCTGATAATGTGCACTGTCCTTGAAGTTGATTGGTCCACACCCGAGACAGCTTTCCTTAGAGCCTAGTCTCATATGGGTTGGACCAGATGACGCCAAAAGGCGCACAACTCAAGGACAATGCACCATCAGAGTATGAGAGCTCGGGGCAAGCATCTACACTATGGGGACCTCATTTGCCAGTAAAATATGATAATTGGTTCTTTACCCTTCTATCTGGCAACACAACTGACACCTTTTTGCAAGGAGTCATGTTTGCATAGACCGCAATACCTGCAGTCATAATACAAACAAAAGAACATAACTCTGATAATGTGCACTGTCCTTGAAGTTGATTGGTCCACACCCGAGACAGCTTTCCTTAGAGCCTAGTCTCATATGGGTTGGACCAGATGACGCCAAAAGGCGCACAACTCAAGGACAATGCACCATCAGAGTATGAGAGCTCGGGGCAAGCATCTACACTATGGGGACCTCATTTGCCAGTAAAAATATGATAATTGGTTCTTTACCCTTCTATCTGGCAACAAAACTGACACCTTTTTGCAAGGAGTCATGTTTGCATAGACCGCAATACCTGCAGTCATAATACAAACAAAAGAACATAACTCTGATAGGCTCTAAGACAGCTTTCCTTAGAGACTAGGCTCTAAGGAAAGCTGTCTCGGGTGTGGACCAATCAACTTCAAGGACAGTGCACATTATCAGAGTTATGTTCTTTTGTTTGTATTATGACTGCAGGTATTGCGGTCTATGCAAACATGACTCCTTGCAAAAAGGTGTCAGTTTTGTTGCCAGATAGAAGGGTAAAGAACCAATTATCATATTTTTACTGGCAAATGAGGTCCCCATAGTGTAGATGCTTGCCCCGAGCTCTCATACTCTGATGGTGCATTGTCCTTGAGTTGTGCGCCTTTTGGCGTCATCTGGTCCAACCCATATGAGACTAGGCTCTAAGGAAAGCTGTCTCGGGTGTGGACCAATCAACTTCAAGGACAGTGCACATTATCAGAGTTATGTTCTTTTGTTTGTATTATGACTGCAGGTATTGCAGTCTATGCAAACATGACTCCTTGCAAAAAGGTGTCAGTTTTGTTGCCAGATAGAAGGGTAAAGAAACAATTATCATATTTTTACTGGCAAATGAGGTCCCCATAGTGTAGATGCTTGCCCCGAGCTCTCATACTCTGATGGTGCATTGTCCTTGAGTTGTGCGCCTTTTGGCGTCATCTGGTCCAACCCATATGAGACTAGGCTCTAAGGAAAGCTGTCTCGGGTGTGGACCAATCAACTTCAAGGACAGTGCACATTATCAGAGTTATGTTCTTTTGTTTGTATTATGACTGCAGGTATTGCGGTCTATGCAAACATGACTCCTTGCAAAAAGGTGTCAGTTTTGTTGCCAGATAGAAGGGTAAAGAACCAATTATCATATTTTTACTGGCAAATGAGGTCCCCATAGTGTAGATGCTTGCCCCGAGCTCTCATACTCTGATGGTGCATTGTCCTTGAGTTGTGCGCCTTTTGGCGTCATCTGGTCCAACCCATATGAGACTAGGCTCTAAGGAAAGCTGTCTCGGGTGTGGACCAATCAACTTCAAGGACAGTGCACATTATCAGAGTTATGTTCTTTTGTTTGTATTATGACTGCAGGTATTGCGGTCTATGCAAACATGACTCCTTGCAAAAAGGTGTCAGTTTTGTTGCCAGATAGAAGGGTAAAGAACCAATTATCATATTTTTACTGGCAAATGAGGTCCCCATAGTGTAGATGCTTGCCCCGAGCTCTCATACTCTGATGGTGCATTGTCCTTGAGTTGTGCGCCTTTTGGCGTCATCTGGTCCAACCCATATGAGACTAGGCTCTAAGGAAAGCTGTCTCGGGTGTGGACCAATCAACTTCAAGGACAGTGCACATTATCAGAGTTATGTTCTTTTGTTTGTATTATGACTGCAGGTATTGCGGTCTATGCAAACATGACTCCTTGCAAAAAGGTGTCAGTTTTGTTGCCAGATAGAAGGGTAAAGAACCAATTATCAGGTCAATATATTTGAGATGACTGTCCTGTTGGAATTCCCTATACCTCTGCTGTAGCAGACAGACAGAAATATGGCATCTGTGCAGGACCGCCCTTGCCTGAAACCACATTGGGTCTCCACAAGCCACTCCTCAGCGTGCCTGGCAAGGCAATGTTGAATGATCCTTGCCAGGACCTTTCCCAGCACACTGAGGAGGGAGATGTCTTTGTAGTTGTTACAGGCTGTGCGGTCTCCACTCTAAAAGAGGGGGACCACCAGGGCATCCTTCCAATCCTGCGGAACCTGTTCAGTGGTCCAAACTGTTATTATGATGTCATGTAGGGCAGAGATCATCTCTGCTTGCCGCATTTCCTGGTTTAAGACTCTAGATTCTCTTCTGTATTTCCTCAATAGATGGCACTTCAGGCAGTCACTCACAGCGGGTGACTACTTCTTCCTCCAATATTTGAGGAACCGAAGCCTCAGGAGAGTCATCTCCAGTTTGTCTCATGATGTTTTCCAGGCTGAGGGATTTCACCTCCCCCAAGACCTTACATAAATGCTCAGCAAATCTGCAAACCTGTTCTTGGGGGTCAGAGATCGAATTGCCTTCATTCCACTAATGATAGATGTGGCGCTGCAAGTTACTTTTTTGATGGAGTAAAAAGAGATTTGTGATCACGAGGTACTGAGGCAGACTCCATCTCCTCAGCAACCCGTTACCACCACCCATCGTTGCAGCACCTCACAGCTATCCAAAACTCCGTGTGAAGACTGCAGTAAGCCTCCTCATTCTCTGACGTGGGATGCTGGAGACGGTGGGAGTGGGCCTGTCGCTTTTTCACAGCCAGCTCGAACATCTCCTTTGTCAGCCAGGGTCTCTGTAGAGATTTGAACCGTGTACCAAGGCAGCTATTGCAGCTGCATGAGCCACGGTCCTAAACCTCGCCAATTTCCCCTCGTCATCAGGAGGCAGGGGGGAACGATGCCAACCCCAGCTGCAAGCGATACATTCTCACTTGCAACTTTCATCAGCTAGCTGAAACCAGGCCACTGTGGATTTGAATGGGGTCCTGGGTGTACACCCACCACAGGATTGGAAGAATGGCAGGCACATCTTACAGATGACAAGGCTATGGTCAGTTGGGCAGATCTGCTCTATGGTAGGTGCTGGTGTCAAGGATATCCAGCAGATGGCTTTGGTTGTACCCAGCGTGCATCCGTGAGGCTCGGTGGATGCACCCATCCTGGAACAGCGTGTTGGTAATTACAAGCACATGGGCTGTACAGAATTCTAGTAGCCTCCAACTATTGTTATTGAGCTGATCTGGCCCTTGCCTTCAAATCACTCCAGCCAAGTTGCCAGCATAATGACCGACTCAGGAATTAAAGTAACCTAACATAATGACTCTATCCCGACAGGCCACTTTAGCTAGCACCTATGACAGGAGGTCTTAGAAGCCACCTGACTCATCGGCCTTGCCTGCATCCCTCCACTGATGTTCATATTCGGTGGGGGCATCAGTAACCAATACCACCCCTCAGCTTTACACACCTCACCGCCATGCTCCCAGGTCCCCTTCATTGTTTTGTTGAGAAGAACAGCCACTCCCTGTTGTTTGACAGTATCCTGCCCTGAGTAGAGGACTGTCCATCCCTCATGGTGGCTGAAATCAGAGCCGTTTAACAATACCTCCTGAATACTGCAGGGATCCAGGCGGTAATGGTGCAACTCCCAACAGAGGAGTGGCAGCCTCTCCTCCACTAGTGAGCGTTCGAGCATTCCACGTGGCCACCTGCAGTGATTTTTTTCAGGAGGAACTCCGAGGGTAAGGATTCACTCTCCTGGCTCTGCCAAATGGGGCTTGGCCAGGAGACCTCACAGACACCTGTCCCCCCGGGTCCTCCGGCACAAGCTTTGTTTGATATTTTTTGTTCGTGGTGTCATGGTAATTTATTTGAAGGTGGCGGGGTTAGCAGCCCCTCATACCCGTTCAGAGGCCCTTTTGGCTGCTGTGGTGGCTACAGACGCCATGAGGGAAATGGCCAATTTAAATTGGTTCTCCCCCCATGGCACTGCTCATCACAGCGTTCCCGTCCGGCACCACTGATGACGTACGGGGTTGTTTTTGCCGGATACATATGCACACACACAGAAGCACACACAAACACGAATCTCCCGTGTAGCCTCTAACAGACTGGTTGGACAAGTGCTGGTAGTAGAGAGTAGTAGCCCCTATGAAGGCCGGCACTGTGGCAAACGAGGAGGTGGGTGGCCAGCACCACGCCCGGCCGTCTTTGTCTCCCCAGTGGTGATGTTTACTACTACACACCACAGTGAACTAGTGAGTGAGTAGCTGAGTGAGTAGCCGAGTTAGTAGCTGAGTGAGTTAGTAGTTGAGTAAGTAGCTGAATGAGTATGTAGCTGAGTGAGTGAACACGTGAGTAAGTGAGTGAACGATTGAGTGAGTATCTGAGTGAGTTAATAACTGAGTGAGTGATCTAGTGAGTAAGTGAGTAGCTGCATGAGTACCTGAGTGAGTGAACTTGGGAGTGAGTAGCTGAGTGAGGTGCTGAGTGAGTTAAATAGTAAGTGAATAGCTGAGTGAGTGGCTAAGTGAGGAGCTGAGTGAGTAGTTGATAATTGAGTAGCTGAGTGAGTGAGTAGCTGAATGAGTGAACTCGTGAGTGAACTAGTCAGTGAGTAGCTGAATGAGTGAACTCGTGAGTGAGTAGCTGAGTTACTAGCTGAGTGAGTAGCTGAGTGAGTGGCTGAGTGAGTAGTTGAGTGATTAGCTCAGTGAGTAAACTAGTGAGTGAGGTGCTGAGTGAGTGAACTAGTGAATGAGTAGCTGCGTGAGTAGCTGAGTGAGTGGCTGAGTGAGTAGCTGAGTGATTAAACTAGTGAGTGAGTAGCTGAGTGAGTAGCTGAGTAAGTAAGTAGCTGAATGAGTAGCTAAGTGAGTAAACTAGTGACTGAGTTGATGAGTGAGTGATCATCTGAGTGAGTGAGGTGCTGAGTGAGGAGCTGAGTGAGTGAGTAGCTGAGTAATTGAGTAGCTGAGTGAGTAGTTGAGTGAGTAGATGCGTAAGTAACTGAGTGAGTAGCCGAGTGAGTGTGTAGCTGAGTGAGTAAACAAGTGAGTGAGCAGCTGAGTGAGTGAGTAGCTGAATGAGTGGTTGAGTGAGTGGCTGAGTGAGTAGCTGAGTGAGTGAACTAGTGGGTGAGCAGCTGAGTGAGTGGCTGAGTAAATTAAAAGATGGGTGAGCGAACTAATTAGTGAGTAGCTGAGTGAGTGGCTGAGTAAGTGAGGTGCTGAGTGAATTAACTAGTGAGTGAGTAGCTGAATGAGAAGCTGAGTGAGCGAGTATCTGAGTGAGTAGCTGATGGAGTGAACTAGTGAGTGAGTGAGTGAACTATTGAGCTGACTAGTCAGTGAACTAGTTGATCAGCGAACTAGTGAGTGAATGAGTGAGTTAGCTTTTGAGTGAGTTGACTAGTGAGTTAACTAGTGAGTGAACTAATAAGTAGTGAGTCTAACCGATGCTTGTTTGCGTTCTTCTTCACCAGGCTGATGACGTCACGGGTGTTGGACACTTCCCCATCGGTCAGCACCATCAACTATGACATCACAACATCACAACACCGTCAACTATGAAATCACATCATCACAGCAACATAAACTATCACATCACAACACTGTCAACTATGACAGCACAACCTCACTACTATACACTACACTACTATACACTACACTATGATACAATACACTTCAATACGCTAATATATACTACACTATACACTACTATACACAACGCACTACTATAGATTACACTACTATACACTCCACTACAATATACTACACTACTATACACGACACTATTATACACTATACACTGCTTTACACGATATTCTACTATACACTATTCACTACTATACACTACTATATACTATACACTACTGTACACTGTACACTAATATATGCTGCATACTACTATACACTACACTAGTATACACTGCTATACTGATGTAATGACATAGTGACATCTACTGGTTGGAAAAGGGAAGCACGGGTACAGGCACCACTATAAACATCATCCAATCCCAAAGGGAGAAGTATCTGGGCCAAAGGTAAAGGGCGGGCTGGCCGAGATACTCCGGGAACCGGCTAGAAGGTTCCACAAGAGGCCGTGGCCGGAGGCGCAGGAGGACTCGTGGTCGGTGTGGGGAGCCATGGGTCCGGACTGCATCGCTGCTCGCCATCATCTTTCTCCGTCGTGCGGCCACATGGCAGATCTCCTGCGAAGTCCCATGACCCTCGCTGCCCCGCCCTTCAACCAGCGGCGAGGCCGGGGGTGGGCGGACGGAACCACGCTGTGGGATCGACCAAGGGTAGCCTGTAGGGATGCTAATATCTACGTGTGTACTCGGAGAAGGAAGAGGATAAGGTTGGCTTTGGTGTGCCAGAATGTGAATAAAGAAGAGAAAACCCTCTACACGACGTGTCGCAGAAGTCGCTCATTACACTACTGTAAAGTACACTAGTATACACTACACTAACACACTATACACTACACTACTATACCCTACTATATACTACCCAACTATACATTCCACGACTATACACTACACTAGGAAACAATACAGTACTATACACTAAAGTACTATTCATTGCACTATTATACACTACTACACACTATGATACACTATACACTACAATATGGTATACCCTACTATACACTATACACTCCACTACTATACACTACACTACTACATTCTACACTAGACACTACACTACTATACACTACTATACACTATTGTTCACTACTATACACTATACTCTACTATACACTATTGTTCACTACTACACACTATGATACACTATACCCTACTATACACTATACACTCCACTACTATACACTACACTACTACATGCTACACTAGACACTACACTACTATACACTACTATACACTAAATTACTCAACTTGGTGGAAACCATCGGGGGTTGACTGTTCAAGACTCAACTAAGTGGTAAACCACCGGGGTTGAAGATAGCCATAGCCGTTACGAGTATGGCGGTCGCTAAAACTCGGACTGTAAATACGATTGGATATATGAAGCTCAACTTACCTGAAAAATGGATTTTCCAAGGCGTTCCTTTGAACGACTTCGACGTTAGGACCTTCGAAGACACTGAAACCATTCCACCGACTCTCCTCTCTCCTATTTGCCCTCCTTGCTCTCGATGGGGAGGTAGCAGGCCAGACCCTGTCACTCACCTGCCGGGGGTGTTCCGCCCGGCATGCCGAGCGGTAGATGGCCTCGAGAGGCCTCAGGATCTCGGTGCCCCCCAAGTCGGCGCTCATTTCCTTGACGAGCTTCAGCGCCTCCGCCATGCTCGCCTGCGAGTACTCGCGGCTCTCCCTGGAGGGGGGAGGGGGGCACACACAGGGTTGGGGGTGGGTACAAAATGCGGGATGGAAACGTCTGCTCGTCACCGTGGCAAGTGTAGTCCATGCTTCCACTCTCACTGCCTCCCTCTCCCTCCACTCCATCCCCCCTTTACTCCCTCCCCCCCTCCACTCTCTGTCTCATTGCCTCCCTGCCACCTCCAATCCCTCCCACCTCCACTCCTTGCCACCTCCACTCCCTCCCACCTCCACTCCCTGCCACCTCGCTCCCCCCGGTACTCCCTCCTCAACTCCCTTTACTCCCACACTCCTCCAGCCCCTCGCACCTCCCTCCACTCCCTCCTAAACACCCACTCCCTTCCTCCATTCTCTCCTCCACTCCGTCCACTTCCTCCCACCTCCATAGGGGCTGGGTGCCAGGGGTTGGGTGTTTAGGGCTGGGGGGGGGGGGTGGAGGCTCACGGGAAGAAGCTGTCGTAGCTGCTTCCGAATGCGTAGACGTTGAAGAAGCAGCCGAGAGGCAGACTCTTCAGCAGCAGCATCAGCGTCTCCTGCAGGGGGGGGGGGGGGGGGAGCATGGAATTAACATAGCGTAGGCATGGGGGAAGCATGATATGAACATTCATACACACAGACCCACAGACTCACCACACAGAGACCCACAGACTCACCACACACACACAGACCCACAGACTCACCACACAGACACCCACAGACTCACCACACATACACAAATCCACAGACGCACCACACAGAGACCCACAGGCTCACCACACAGAGACCCACAGACTCACCACACACACACAGACCCGCAGACTCACCACAAACTCGCCACACAGAGACCCACATACTCACCACACACAACAAATCCGTCATTTGCCACTAAGTGACGGTGACGTCATCACGGCGCCTGTGCCAGGCTATGTGCATGTTAAGGCCATGTGAAGTGGCAAATGCCCGCCGGCAATAGGTTACGGGGAAGACCCAGGTGCCATTGGTCGACTGACTGAGATGACTGCCCGATGCACCACCGGTGCCCCCTACTGTGCCAACTTGCTATGTTTTAGCCACTCGGCACTCCACTCGTTGTTGTGAGCGTCGCTCCTCTGCCCTCCGTTGTTGTTGGAGGGCGACTGCTTCCAACTGCCCAGTAGCGTCCTTCACGAGCCTCCTCCACAGAGGCTGATCTTGACACCACTGGTACCAGTCATTGGTAAGTCCACTCAGCTCCATGTCCTCTCTCATCACTCCCATCTCTCCTCGAGCCCGTGATGCACATGCCTGCCTATGGCAGGCCAGGCTAAATGTTTATAACCGGCGAAGATGTTCGATTAGGTGGGTACACGTTTTGCAAGCATAGAGAAGGGAGGGAATCACTGTGGCTGAGAAGACCTGAAGCTTCCTGTGGAGTGACAGACCAGGTAGCTCCCACACAGCATTACGCAAACGATGAAAAGATAATGCTGCTCGATTAATTCTGAGTGAGAACTCTGCTGTCAAACCGGAGCTGGTCATAAGCACACTATTCAGGTATGGGGAAACTCTCTACTATCTCCACAACTGCCCCATCACTGATTGGGAGTTGTGGGGGTGGAGTGTCAGATGGTACAAAATACCCAGGCAGGTGCTTAGTTTTGGTGGCTCAAGGTTCAGCAGCAGCGTCTCCAACTCATTCTCTGAGTGAGCAGCAATTACCAGATCATCGGCATACATAACATGGTTGAGCAAATAGGGAGCCTTCCCTTGACCACACCTGGGCATCGATCAGCCTCCCATTGTACCTGTACCAGATGTAAATTCCTCCAGTACAGCAATCGAAGGCTTCACAAACTACGTGGTCGAAATAGATGTCAGAGGATATCCCTGTCAAACCCCAAGGTGAACAGGGAATGGTTTCCGACTCCCGGCCATGTAGATTTAATCCGGCCTGTTCATCATCATGAAGGTCCTTAATGATTGTGAGCAAAATAAGCAACAATACAGCCCAGGCATACTAGGTAGTATCAGAGGCTTTGACCAGGTCAATAAAGCGGTGTGTGCGGTCCCCCTTCTTAAAGAGGGAGACCACCAGGTCATCCGTCCAATCCTGCGGAACCTGTCCAGTGGTCCAGACTCTTATTATGTAGGGCAGTCTGTGCACAAACGCCACCCTCCCTCAGCATTTCACTTGGGAGATCATCTCTGTCCGGTGCCTTTTCTGGTCTCAGACTCTGGATCTCCTTCAGTACTTCCTCAATAAATGGCACCTCAGCCAGCCACTCACAGGGGGCGACTTCTTCTTCTAATATTTGAGGAACCGCAGCTTCAGCAGGGTCATCCCCACTTTGTCCCATGATGTTTTCCAGGCTGAGAGATTTTCCCTCCCCTCACAAAAATGCTCAGCAAATCTGCAAACCTATTACTGGGGGTAGGAGATTGGATCACTGTTCTTTCCACTCATGATGGTAATAGGTGTGGCGCTGCATGGTACTTTTCGATGATTTTAAAGAGAAATTTGTGATCACGGGCCACTGAGGCAGATACCATCTCCTCAGCAACCCGCGACCACCACCCATCCTTGCAGTGCCTCATGGATCTCCAAACCTCCGAGTGAAGGCTGTGGTAAGCCTCCTCATTCTCTGACGTGGGATGCTGTAGATGATGAGAGTGGGCCTGTCGCTTTTAGTCGACCAGCCTGAACACCTCCTCCATCAGCCAGGGTCTCTGTTGGAGGTCTGGACCGTGTACACAAAGTAGCGATTGAAGTTGCATGAGCCACAATCCTAAACCTTGCCCATTTCCCCTCGACATCAGGAGGAGTGGTGGACAATGCCAACCCCAGCGGCAAACTATGATGCAATTTCGATTTAAAGCTTTCGTGACTGCAGGGATTCATCTTCTTGGTTATTATTTTATTACTTCCCTTCTATATGATGCAATTCTCGCTTGCAACTTTCATCAGCTAGCTGAGACCAGGCCACCTTAGGTTGGAATGGGGTCCTGGGTGAACACCCACCATCGGAGTGGAAGAATGGCAGGCGCATCTTACAGTTGACCAGTCGATGGTCAGTGGTCAGATCAGCTCTATGGTAGTTCCTGGAGTCAAGAGCATGGGCCCACATCCACTGTTCCGTCAATATATTGTCCAGCAGACGTTCTTGCTTGGTACCGACATGCATCCATGATGTTGTGTGGATGTGGCGATGCCGGAACAGTTTGTTGGTAATTACAAGCCTATGGGCTGCATACAAATCTAGCAGCCTCCTGCCATTTTAATTGAGCTGATCTGGCCCATGCCTTCAAATCACTGCAGACCAGGTGCCAGCATCATGACTAACTCCGGAATTAAAGTCACCCAACAAGATGACTCTATCCTGAGGGGTCACTTTAGCTAGCACTTGTCACAGGAGGTCATGGAAGGCATCTGACTCACGGCCTTCATAATAGAGGTGTTTGGGTCAGATCGTGTTATTTATAAATGTGTCGTAACCCTCCACCACCCACACGGCCAAACAATAAAAAATGTGTCACGTTTTTCAAAGGACAAATTAATCCACTTCTTTAGCCCACCGGTGTGCTGAAGAGAGAATCAACAGCATTTTTTAAATTTGAGTAGTACGACGTTTCGCTGATAATTACAATCAGCTTCATCGGGCAAGAATGGTGAAGCTCTCCTGTTGCTTCCGGTCTTAAATAGAGCAGCATCAGGGTGACGTTATTATTTAATTCAATTCAATCTGGTGCAGTGATTCGAGGCAAGGAGGGGGAGGGTTTTGTAATTATATAGATTGGTAATCGTTCAATTGTTATTCATTGGTATTTGTTTCCCTTATAAGGAATTTTAATTGTATTTATTTAATAATACGCTTCCAGGCCGCACTAAGCCTGTAGCTGTCAGGGCGATTGAAGTTATTTCTGTTTCTCTCAATTTCAATGGATTCTCTAATTAGTCTTGGCCAGTAATAATTAGTTTTACACAACACTTCAACGTTATCAAAATAAATTGAGTGTCCTTGTTGACAAGCATGCTCTGCCACTGCCGACAGTTGTGTTTGAGATAATTTAATGTTTCTTTGGTGTTCTTTTAATCTTACGCTGATGTTACGTCCCGTCTGTCCAATATAGCATCTGCTACATAAACAATTAATCCGATATACACCTTCTGTTGATAATTTAGGCAATTCGTCTTTAGTGCCAGATACCAGTTTTTTTTTATTTTGTGCACTGTACCAAATCTTACTGCAATGTTTTGCTTTTGCAAAACCCGGGCTAATTTGTCAGTTACTCCTGAGATGTATGGTATTTTGATTGTTTGAACAATCTTATCGCTTTCAGCAGTGTTGCTTTGCGTTCGTGATTTGGCCTTCAGTGCTCTGTTAATTTGAGCATTATTGTAGCCATTCTGTCTTAGTGCTTTTTTAACATGTTTCATCTCTCTCACTAGACGCTCACCATCTGACACTGTTTTAGCCCGATGTATGAGTGTTTTGATAAGAGACTCCAGGGTATTGCAAGTCAGGAATTACATCTTTCACAGATGGAATTAGATCACGGATTTTATGTACTGTATTGAATCGGACTTGGATCTTATGTTTGTTTAGAATTTTAGAGATCTTTTTTTATCACGCCTGCTATGTATGGCAACGTGATAGTTTTGATCGGAGTTTCATGTGGCTGTTTCTGTATGGTGGGAGAAACAGCTGGGCGGATGGTGCGGTCAGAGTATCCGTTCATCCTGAGGGCCCGATGTACATGTCTTAATTCACCGGCCAGGTGGTATTGGTCAGAAATGCCATGAGCTCTGTGGTATAGTGTTTTGATGAGATAATTCTTTTGAGACGGGTGGTGGTGGGAATCAGGTTTCAAGTAGGAAACTGTGTGGGTGGCTTTCCTGTAAACAGAATGTCCCAAGGATCCGTCAGGTCTCCTCTCAACCAGAATATCTCCCGGGGCCTACCCTGGCTCCTCCCCCCTCAACCAGAATATATATAAGGTCGGGTCTCTTGGAATTTCTCTTTACTTGATACAGCAATCGTGCTGGGACGATTCCACCTGAAGACGGAAGCCTGTGTTGCCTCCAAAACGTCGTGAATTATTATTTTATTTCTAAAAAATGTATTATTTTTATTTTATTATTTATTTTTACCTATGTGACTTTACCGAAAAAACATAAGAGTATGATTCCTTGCAGTCACGAAAGCTTCAAATCTAGAACCTCCAGCACAAGTTTAGTTATAATTATTTTTGCGTGGTTTAGTAGTACTTGGATTGAAGGTGGAGGGGTTACCAGCCTCTCGCCCCTGTCCATAGCCCCCTTTGGCTGCTGTGGTGGCTACAAATGCCATGAGTGGAATGGCCAATCGAAATATACCCTCCCACCATGGCACTGCTCACCACAGCGTTGCCATCCAGCACCAACGAGGTAGAGGTATATTTTGCTGGAGACCCTCACACACACAGACCCATCACCCAGAGACCCACTCAAACACAGAGAGACACACACACCCACATACTCACCACACAGAGACAAATAGACTCATTACACAGACATACACACACACAGACCCACAGACTCATCACACAGAGACCCACTCAAACACAGAGAGACACACCCACCCACATACTCAACACACAGAGACAGATACAGTGAGGGAAAAAAAGTATTTGATCCCCTGCTGATTTTGTACGTTTGCCCACTGACAAATGGTAGGTTTATTTGAACGGTGAGAGACAGGATAACAACACAAAAATCCAGAAAAACGCATGTCAAAAATGTTATAAATTGATTTGCATTTTAATGCGGGAAATAAATATTTGACCCCCTCTCATTCAGAAAGATTTCTGGCTCCCAGGTGTCTTTTATACAGGTAGCAAGCTGAGATTAGGAGCACACTCTTAAAGGGAGTGCTCCTAATCTCAGCTTGTTACCTGTAAAAAAGACACCTGTTCACAGAAGAAATCAATCAATCAGATTCCAAACTCTCCACCATGGCCAAGACCAAAGAGCTCTCCAAGGATGTCAGGGACAAGATTGTAGACCTAAACAAGGCTGGAATGGGCTACAAGACCATCGCCAAGCAGCTTGGTGAGAAGGTGAAAACAGTTGGTGCGATTATTCGCAAAGGGAAGAAACACAAAATAACTGTCAATCTCCCTCGGCCTGGGGCTCCATGCAAGATCTCACCTCGTGGAGTTGCAATGATCATGAGAACGGCAAGGAATCAGCCCAGAACTACACGGGATGATCTTGTCAATGATCTTAAGGCAGCTGGGACTATAGTCACCAAGAAAACAGTTGGTAACACACTACGCCGTGAAGGACTGAAATCCTGCAGCGCCCGCAAGGTCCCCCTGCTCAAGAAAGCACATATACATGCCCGTCTGAAGTTTGCCAATGAACATCTGAATGATTCAGAGGACAACTGGGTGAAAGTGTTGTGGCCAGATGAGACCAAAATGGAGCTCTTTGGCATCAACTCAACTCGTGTTTGGAGGAGGAGGAATTCTGCCTATGACCCCAAGAACACCATCCCCACCGTCAAACATGGAGGTGGAAACATTATGCTTTGGGGGTGTTTTTCTACTAAGGGGACAGGACAACTTCACCGCATCAAAGGGACGATGGACGGGGCCATGTACCGTCAAATCTTGGGTGAGAACCTCCTTCCCTCAGCCAGGGCATTGAAAATGGGTCGTGGATGGGTATTCCAGCATGACAATGACCCATAACACACGGCCAAGGCAACAAAGGAGTGGCTCAAGAAGAAGGAAATTACGGTCCTGGAGTGGCCTAGCCAGTCTCTAGACCTTAATCCCATAGAAAATCTGTGGAGGGAGCTGAAGGTTCGAGTTGCGAAACGTCAGCCTCGAAACCTTAATGACTTGAGGAAGATCTGCAAAGAGGAGTGGGACAAAATCCCTCCTGAGATGTGTGCAAACCTGGTGGCCAACTACAAGAAACGTCTGACCTCTGTGATTGCCAACAAGGGTTTTGCCACTAAGTCATGTTTTGCAGAGGGGTCAAATACTTATTTCCCTCATTAAAATGCAATCAATTTATAACATTTTTGACATGCGTTTTTCAGGGTTTTTGTGTTGTTATTCTGTCTCTCACTGTTCAAATAAACCTACCATTAAAATTATAGACTGATCATTTCATTGTCAGTGGGCAAACGTACAAAATCAGCAGGGGATCAAATACTTTTCTCCCTCACTGTAGACTCATTACACAGAGACCCACAAACACACATACCCACAGAGACCCACAGATTAATTACACAGAGACCCACACACACACACATAGAGTCCCACAGCGGCGTGCCCACCTTGGCGTAGACCATGCGGCATTCCATGCTGCCGGAGCAGTCCACCAGGAAGATGAACTCCCCCTTCTGAGTCAACGCCTCCGCCCCCTTGGCGGACTTGGTCTCTCCCATGCCGGGTAAGAAGTTCAGCATGGTCACTGTGTCACTCATCAGAGAAGAATCTGGGAGGGAGGAGGAGGAAAATGAGGAGGGGGTAGGATGAGGGGAGGGAGGGAAGTGAGGGGGGGAAGTGTTGGAGGGCAAGAGGGGGTGCAGGTGGGGGGCAGGATGGGGGGGGGGGAGAAGGAGGAGGGGTGAAGGGGCGGAAAAAAGGGGAGGGGACAGAGAAGGGGAGGGGTAGAAGAGGAGGGGAAAGGGTAGAAGAGGAGGGGAAGGGGAGGGGGAGAAGGGGAGGGGGAAGAGAATGGGAGGGGGAGCGACGGGGAGGAGGGGATAGAAGGGAGGGGAGGAGGAGAGAAGGGGAGGGGGTAGAAGGAGAGGGGGAGGTGAGAAGTGGAGGGGGAGAGAAACGAGGAAGGTGAGGGAGCGAAGGAGAGGTGGGGGGAGACAGGGGGGAGGGATAGAGAAGGGGGGGGGGTTTTCAGAGCTTGTGCTAAATCGTCCCAGTGTTTTTTCTCTCGCTCGTTTTACGTCTCACATTTGTATCGAGTGAACGGTCTTTCATCGCATTACTCCTTGGTCATTTGTGGCGCTGGGTTTTGTCATCATCAGGTTATATTTGTGCGTGTTATATTTCCTTTGCTAAGAGCCGTGTGTGGTGGCCTGGCCCGGACCAGTCCGACCTGTCCCCACTTGCCCTCTGCTGTGCTGCCCTCCGCAGCTGCGTTGTGTGCCCCGCGTGCCTTTCCGTGCTGTGATTTCGCTATAATTTTCAACACTTTATAGCTGGTGCCTCTTTTGCCTTCTCACACAGCCGTCATCTCTCTCCCCCTCCTTCACGATGGCGTCTCACATGCACGAGTCGCCTCTGCCAGTCGCTCAGGCCCTCTTGCCTCGAGCCCCGCCCATGCACAGCACCAAACAGCGGCAGACGGACCAGGGCCGTCGGGAGCGGCTGGCACCAGCAGCGGCCGTCACACTGCCATGGTGTCCACTGCCAGGCCTCGGTCGACGCCTCCGTCGATACCTACGTCGACGCCCTTGCGTCCATAGTCCCCAGAAACTACGTTCGAGTTTACCTCCAAAATGAAACGGCAAGGCCCGTTTTCTGTTTGGAGGGAGAGAGAGTGGCCTTTTTGCGGCCGTGGCCCAGGGGCTGATGGTGGGCGACTGGTACATCGCGCTTGAGCCACTGTCTTCCCCTGCAGCGTGGGGGGGGGGGGGGTGGTCTTCAAGATGCCCCCCTACATACAGGTGACAAGGACATCCAGGAGCGGGTGGCCAAGCTGTGCACCATCACATGGCCCATTCGTCTGGTGATGCTGGGCTGCAGGAGCCCGGGCCCTGAGGCACGACACATTTTGTGCCGAAGCCACTATCAGGTGCCACCTCTGCAAGGGTGAGGAGCACTTCAGGAGAGAGTGCCCCAATGAGTCGCCCGTCAACTCCGACAAGGACCGTCTGGCAGGAGAGAGCAGTGGCCAATCAGCAGGTGGAGCAGACTCCTGCAGCTCCGATTACACCAGTGAGATGCCAGGTCCCAGCAAAACTCCTGCTGTGACAGCAGATGTTCCCATGGGACATTATGGCCCCGTGGGGGTTGATATCCCCCGAATTTCCCCTGAGCACTCACCACCCCGAGTGGAAGAAGGGGTAGAGGATGAAGACACCGCGTCTGCAGAGGCCGCTTCCTCCTTTCAAGACGTGGGGGCGAAGGCACTACTGGAGGGGCGACGGCGCTACTGGGGCCGACGAGGTGGCCGAGGAGGGAGGGTCGGGCTCTCCTCCCTTTGCCAGGATGTGCCATAAGTCTGACAGAGATCCCTGCTGCTGATGATGCTGAGGAGGCGAGCGCTGGCATTCTCCCTGCCACTGCCCCAGTGGGTGAGCCTACAGAGCCAGCCGTGGATTCGACTCCTGGGTCCTCGCACGCAGGGCCTGGAAGCCAGAAGGGGGACTCGCGTGATGACCTCCGTGTGGTGGGCAGCGAGACCAGCCGAAGTCTCGATGTGGTCGTCTCTGCTGGAACCTATTTTCTTGTCACGAAGACCTGTGGAAGTTTTTTTTTAAAGAAACCCACAGAATACTGAACCAGGTCATGGAGGCTTTGTGGAGATGGCGAGCCTGTAGATGCCATAGAGACCTCCCTCAGACGCTCGCTTGTGGAGCTTCAACAGGATGAGAAGAAGTCGCGAGTCACAGAGAGGCCCAGAGCAAGGAATTTCCTCAGTAATTTAACTGATTGAAATAACACCGGCTACTCGCTCACAATGGCGTGCATTGCCTCCCTCAATATTAATGGGGGCACAGGGCCGATTAGGAGATGTTATGCCGCATCCCTTGCTAGTCAGCACAAGATCTCTCTGCTGTTTGTGCAGGAGACCCATCTCATCACGGTCAATGAGGGTGCCTGGAGTAGGGAGTGGAGAGGGGGACTCCTCTTTCAGCCACTTAAGCAGCAACTCCTCGTGAATGTCAACCGTGTTCTCACCGAACGTCACGCCCGATATCGTGAGCCAGGAAGAAGTGGTAAAGGGGAGGGTCCTTGACGTCACGGTGCAGGTCGGTGACACCACCATCCACCTCGTCAACGTGTACTCTCCAAACACTGACAGCGAGAGACCCAGGCTTCTGCAGCTTCTGTGGAACCACCTCAGTGGTGTGCCAGGCGACGAGTGTGGTGGTCGTGGGAGGTGACTACAACGGAACGCTGGATGCCCTCGACTGCACAGGGAAGGAGCACTGCAACGCTGGGTTCTTGGAGGAGCTACGTGACATTTTGGATGCCTCTGATCTGGTGAACGTGTCGTGGCTTCACAACCCTGGGCAGCATTGCTTGACTTTCACTTGGACACGGGGTCATCGATCAGTCACCCCAGTCCAGAATTGACCGCTTTCATGTCTCCAGACGTCTCATGTCAAGCGTCCTCACTTCTGACATCAAAGCTGCACGACTAACGGATCACAGCCTGATCCTATTGGGCCTCAAGCTGCAGGGATCACCCAGCGGTGTGGCCTACTGGCATATCAACAATGCCCTGCTAGGGCATAAGGTCCGAATAAAAAGCTCTGTCAGACTCTGGTTCATCTCTCTTCTATGCCTTGGCGAAGCAAAAGGACAGGCAGAAAACTATGGCGTGCCTCTTCAACAACTAAGGCACCCTTAAAACAAAGGATGAAAAAAGTTATTTCAATAGTGACCTCTTCTCTCCTGAGGAAACATCTGCATCTACTCAAGAGGATATCTGGAGGGACCTACACACCATCTGGGAGGAAGCGACCAAGCTGCTGGAGCAAGGTTTCATGGCGAGTGACCTGGACGCAGCAGTGAACTCTCTTGCAAAAAATAAATGTCTGGGCATCGAGGGGCACACTAGATAATTCTGCGTCTCCCTTTGACCAATTCTATACGAGGACTACGGAGCAGTTATTGAAGAGGCGGTGGCCACAGCAGCCATGCCTCAGTTGTGGCAAAAGGAGGTGATTGCCCTGCTCCCTAAGAAGGACAACCTGAGGCACTTGAAGAACTGGCCACCGGTGTCAGGGCTGTGCACGAATTATAAAATCCTGGCCAAAGTGCTGTCCTCAAAATTAAAGATTGTGCTGGCTCAGGTGGTGGAGAGTGACCAGGCCTACACGGTCCCGGGGAGAACAGTCCACGACAGCGTCTTCCTCGTCAGGGACCTCATCGCCCTCTCCGAGAGGATGGGGCTCCCACTTGTGCTCCTCTCTCTCGACCAGGAGAAGGCGTTTGACAGTGTTGACAATGGGTATCTATTGGGAAACCCCAGGACTTTTGGGTTGAGGGCTGGATTCATTGGTTTGGTCTGCCTATTTTATGCTGAAGCCCAGTGCCCGATCAAGGTCAACGTCATGTCAAGGCAACTGTTCACCCTCGTTGTGGAGCCCTTTTCCCATGCCTTCTCGGGCAGAGACTGAGTGGCCTGGTCCTTAGAGAGCCAAGCATCAGGGTAGTGCTCATGGCATACGCTGATGACATCTTCTTCAACGTGGGCTCACCGGGCGACATTTCCCTCCTCCATGCATGCCAAGACATCTACTTTAGGGCCTCCTCTGCAAAACAATGAACTGGGGCAAGTTGCTGTGGGTTGCTGGTTGGAAAGTGGGATTCAACCCAATTTCCATAGCAGGGCAAGAGCATCACCTGCGGCACCGTATCCTTGCGCCACCTCAGAGTGTTCCTGGGCCCCGGAGAGAATCTCTTGCAATGGAGCTGGAAAGAGCTTGAGTGCAAGGTGCGGGAGAGGCTGCGGGCCAGGCAGCTCAATTCAAAATTGCTCAGCTTCATGGGGGAAGATCTTGGTGGTGAACCAGCTCGTGACAGCCATATTGTGGCACTGCCTCTTTTCCCTAGGCCCTCCTGGCCGCCTCGTAGCTGCACTGCAGAAGAAGATCCCGAACTTCTTGTGGTCAGGCAGGAGACACCACGTGGCTGCTGGGGTCCTAATTTTGCCGCTGGAAAGAGGAGGTCAGGGGGTGATGCAGAGTGTGAGGAGCCAGGTGGACGCCTTCCGCCTGCAAGCCACACAGCAGTCCCTGTATGCAGACCACCTTCCTGCTAGGAGTACCACAGCTACCGTCTTTCTTTAGCAGCTGGGTGCCCTTGGGTGCAGCAAGCAGCTGTTCCGCATGGACCTCAAGAGCCTCCCACTGGGTCCCCTGGTCCCACTGTACTGGAGTGTCCAGTACGCCTGGAGATGCCTCACAAAAAAGAGGCTCAACCTGCGACTGACAGCAGCCGACTTTGCCCACCAGCCAGAGGTGTTGAATCCACACTTGTAGCTGCCCCCCCCCCCCCCCCCCCCACTGTGTCCCTCTTTCATGCTGGAACGCCTTGGCTACCACGCACCTCACTCGGCCTGGCAACACAGTGCAACCTGACACGGTGCAGCCTGACACGGGGCCCATACCGGCTGAGGTGCCCACACGGGCAGGAATGCGCTCGGAATGGCACGCGACCCGAATACTGAATGGCTTGAGGGGAGCATTGGCCCTCGCCGGCCCACCCCGACCGTACTTCTCTGCATATCGGAGAGCCGGCGTCTGACTTCATCGGACGCGAAGCACCGCTCGTGCTGCCCGGAGGACCTTCAGGAGGTCCACTTTGACAAGGTCGAGTAGAAAAAAAAGCTGCACATTCATGGTACAGTTCCACCACCAAGACGTCCTGGGGACTCACATGGGCCACGCCTGGAGAGAGACCCCCCCCCCCCCCCGGACTGTGAGGGCCACGATAAACTTGTGTTGAGGAGCTTCTACTCCAATCCTTCCTACAAGTGCCACGGGGACTTCAGATACTGCCTGACACCGTAAACCGCCAATGCCTTGCTCGTGAGGTTCACCCAGTGCAAGGCTCTGGATTCGCTCTCCAAGCTCCTGTGAAACATCCTGCTGAAGTTCAGTCTGCACCTCTCCCCCATGGTACTCGACTTTGACAAGACTGGAGACACGGGGGCGGACGGCCTCGTGAACGCCCCAATGAGCTACGTGAGCTGGCGATCCACAGGCCGAGGAAGGCGGCGGTAGACGGTGGATGCTCACCGAACGCCCTTGGCATCTTCAGGGCTCTGCTTTCTGATAGGGTGTGGATAGAGTTCTGCCATGCCCAGCTCACCAGCGATGCCGGTGCCTTCCTGGAGCAGTGGGCGGCATAGGATGCCGTGTGCTTCATACTGGACATTGGAGAGCTGGTTATGGTGGACTGAGCAGGTCCATCTCCTTGTGGCAGAAACTCGTTATTTTTAGATGTATTACACGCTTCTTTCTCTTTATTTCATTTAATTTGGTGTCGGAAGGTCATGGCTTCGATACTGGCCCAGGCGAGACGTTAACTACCTCGCCTGGTACGCAGGAGATTGTGGGTTCGATCTTGACCCTGATGAGATGGAAACTACCTTGCCTGGTGCACAGGAGGCTGTTGGTTCGATCCTGATAATATGTTAACTACCTTGGCTGATATACAGGAGTTTGTAGGTTCGATCCCAACCCTGACGATGCCTGTTGCATATTTGTAGTTTGCGTGTCTCTCTCTCCCCGTGGTGAGATGTTAAATACCTTGCCTGATATGCAGGAGGTCGTGGGTTGTTGTGAGGGCTTATAGACAGCGAGATAGTGGGAGGGGATATGAGGTGACCTGCAGCGGGATGAGTGACTGGGTGAGTGACTGGGTAAGTGAGTGAGGGTATGGGTGAGTAACTGGGTGAGTAAAATTACTGGATGAGGGATAGGTGGGTGGGTGAGTGAGTGGGCGAGTTAGTGAGCGAGTGAGTGAGTGACGAGGAGAGTGACAGGTCAGGGAGTGACCAAAATAACTTAGTCATTGCCATATCATCAGTCAACCCAACTACGTTAGTGTGTGAATGAGCGATTGTGTGGGCGAGTTACTGGGCAGGTGAATGAACTCAATGGGTGACTAGGTGGCTAATTGACCGACACTTCATGTGGCCTTAACGTACATATAGCCTGGCACAATTGCCGTGGTTACGTCACCGCCACTTAGTTGCGAATAGCGGTTGTTGTGTTTCTGTGTGTGTGTCTGTGTGTTTGTGTCTCTGTGTGTGTCTGTGTGTTTCTGTGTGTGTGTATCTGCGTGTGCATCTCTGTGTGTGTCTCTGTGTGTGTGTGTCTGTGTGTCTGTGTATGTGCGTGCATCTGTGTGTGAGTTGGTCATGATTCTGGAATTTAGTCTGGAGTGATTGGAAGGCATGGGCCAGATCAGCTTAATAACAACGGTAGCAGATTGCTAGATTTTTGTGCAGCCCATGGGCTTGTAATTACCAACACGCTGTTCCGGCATCGGCACATCCACACAACATCATGGATGCATGCTGGGTCCAAGCAAGAACATCTGCTGAACTACATAGTGACGGAACAGCAGATGTGGGCCCATGTCCTTGACACCAGGACCTACCGTGGAGCTGATCTGCCCTCTGACCATCGACTTGTCATCTGTAAGATGCGCCTGCCATTCTTCCACTCCGGTGGTGGGTATACACCCAGGACCCCATTCAAACCTAAGGTGGCCTGGTCTCAGCTAGCTGATGAAAGTTGCAAGCGAGAATTGGATCATCGCTTGTGGCTGGGGTTGGCATCGTCCCCCACTCCTCCAGATGTCGAGGGTAAATGGGCGAGGTTTAGGACTGTGACTCAGGCAGCTGCAATGGCTGCTTTGGGTACGCAGTCCAGAACTCCCCAGAGACCCTGGTTGACAGAGAAGGTGTTCAGGATTGATGAGAAAAAGCAACAGGCCCACTTTAATCGTCTACAGCATCCCATGTCAGAGAATGAGGAGGCTTACCGCAGCCTTTGCTCGAATGTTCCGAGAGCCGTGAGGTGCTGTAAGAATGGGTGGTGGTCGCGGGTTGCTGAGGAGATGGAGTCTGCCTCAATGGCCCACGATTATAAATCCCTTTTTAACTCCATCAAAAAAGTTACCTGCAGCGCCACACCTATTACCATCATTAGGGGAAAAAAACGGTGATCAAATCTCCGACCCCCAGGAACAGGTTTGTAGATTTGCTGAGCAATTCTGTGAAGTCCTGGGGGAGGTAAAATCCCTTGACATGGAAAACATCGTAAGACAGTGCCTCTAATATTGGAGGAAGAAGTTACCCCCTGTGAGTGGCTGGCTGAGATGCCTTCTATTGAGGAAGTACTAACGGCGATCCAGAGTTTGAGATCAGGAAAGGCACCGGGCAGAGATGATCTGCCAAGCGAAATTCTAAGGGGGGGGGGGGGGTGGCGATTGTGCAGAAACTGCCTTACATGATATCATAACAACAGTCTGGAACACAAGATGGGTTTCACAGGATTGGAAGGATGCCCTTGTGGTCCCCCTCTTTAAGAAGGGGGACCGCGCAGACTGTAACAACTACATGGGCATCTCACTTATAGGTGTGCCGGGAAAGGTCCTGGCAAGGATTATTCAACACCACCTTGCCAGGCACGCTGAGGAGAGGCTTGCGGAGCCCCAATGTGGTTTCAGGAAGGGGCGGTCCTGCACAGATGCCATATTTTCTGTCTGTTTGCTGCAACAGAGGTGTACGGAATTCCCACAAAATCTACATCTCTGCTTTATTGACCTGGTCAAGGCCTATGATACCATCAGTAGGCCTGGGCTCTGGTTTGTTCTTCGTGCTTTCGGGGTCCCTAACCCTCTGCTTACGATCGTTAAGGACCTTCATGATGGTGAGGGGGCCCGGGTAATACTACATGAATGGGAGTCGGAGCCATTCCCTGTTCACCTTGGAATGCGACAGGGATGTCCTCTGGCTCCCACATTATTTAACATATTTTTCAACCACGTAGTTCATGAAGCCTTTGATGGCTGTACCAGAGGAATTTCCATCTGGTAGAGATACAATGAGAGGCTGATCGATGCCCAGGTGTGGTCAAGGGATGGCTCCCTATTGGTCAACCACGTTATGTATGTCAATGATTTGGTAATTGCCACTCACTCAGAGGAGGAGTTGGAGGCGCGTGCCACTAAGAGGTGGGGCCTTACCATGAGCCCCACCAAAATTAAGCACCTGCCTGGGTATTTTGTACCATTGGACACTCCACCCCCACAACTCCAAACCGGTGATGGGGCAGTTGTGGAGAGAGCGGAGAGTGTCCTATACCTGGGCAGTGTGCTCATGACCGGCTCTGGTTTGACAGCAGAGGTCTCACTCAGAATCAGTCCAGCGGCATTATATTTTCACCGGTTGCGTAACGCAACCAGTATGAAGCTTCAAGTCTTCTCGGCCACGGTCATTCCCTCCCTTTTCTACGCTTGCGAAACGTGGACCCCCCTAATGGAGCATCTTCGCCGATTATAAACATTTAGGCTGGCCTGCCTATGATCCATCCTGAGTTTAACCAGGCTGGATTGTGTGAGGAGCTCACAAATCCTTGAAAGATCTGGGCAAAGTCTCATCGGTGAGCTCCTCCAGCAGGCAAGGCTGCGTTGGCTGTGTCATGTAGCCTGCATGCCCAGTCACCGCATGCCTAAACAGCTTTTGTTCTTCCAGATAGAGGGGGCTAAACGGGCGCGGCACAGGCTAGAGAAGAGATGGAGTGATGTGGTACAATAGGATGTGGAGCTGAGTGGACTTGCCGATGACTGGTACCAGCGGTGTCAAGATCGGCCTCTGTGGAGGAGGCTTGTGAAGGACGCTACTGGGCAGTTGGAGGCAGTCGCCCTCCAACAACAACAGAGGGTGGAGGAGCGACGCTCACAACAACGAGCGGAGCGCCGGGTGGCTAAAGCACAGCAAGTTGGCACAGTAGGGGGCACAGGTGGTGCATCAGCCAGTCGTCTCAGTCAGTCCACCTGTGGCACCTGGGTCAGCTCCGTGACCTCCTGCCAGCGGGCGTTTGACACTTCACATGGTCTCAAGGTGCACATAGCCTGGCACAAGCATCGTGGTGACGTCACCTCCACTTAGAGGCGAATGACGGTTGTTCTTGTCTGTGTGTGAATCTCTTTTTGTCTTTGTGTGTCTCTCTGTGTGTCTTTGTGTGTTTGTGTCTCTGTTTGTGTCTGTGTATGTATGTATCTGGGTGAGGAGTGGAGGTGTAGTGGTTAGCACGCTGCACTATGAACCCGGCGTCCCGATTTCAATTTCTACTCATGGCCAACACCAGTGACGATTATCGGAACCGGTCCTGTGCCTTCCCTAGGTCGACTCAGCCTCAAATGAGTACCTCGTGCGAAGTGAAAACATCGCCATTGGGGAGACAATGCGGCCGGGCGTGGTGTTGGCCACCCATCCCCTCGTGTGCCGTGCCAGCCTTTATAGTTCTGTGCAAACAGCATTTGCCCCTACAGTCTGTTCAGGCTCCATGGAGGAGCTTTGTCTTTGTGTCTGTGTGCGTCTGTGTGTTTCTGTGTGTGTTACTATCTATGTATGTGTGACTGTGTGTTTGATGTGCATCTGTGTGTGTGTCCATGTGTCTCCGTACTCTTGGTGGTGTCGCCTGCCTCCAGCAGTGCGAAGGGGAGGTGCTTCTGGACGGGGTGGACAAACAGCTCCACGTCACGGTCCATATTGAACCCTTCCCCCAGAGACACCTGGGCACATGATGGGGGTGGTGGTGGAGCGGCAGTGTGAAGGGGAGGGGAGGGAGGGTGAGGGAGGGTGAGGGTGGGAGGGAGGGTGAGGGAGGGAGGGTGGGTGGGTGGGAGGGAGTGGATGGAGAGAGTGGAGGGAGGGAGTGGAGGGGAGGTAGAGGAGGAAGTGAGGCCATCACCGCTCATGGCCACCACATAGATCAATAAAAAAACGCAATCCGGCACAACCCCTGCGCAATCCATAACTATCTAATGCAATACAGATAATAATAGACACCCACAGAGGCCCAGAGACTAATATAGAACCACTTACAGGAAGTTTCTGGTTTTGTCCGGGGGGAAAAATATATATTTCAAAACTTGTCTACTCTTAAAATATATAACATTTACATACACAAATATTATGCTATTATGAAAGCCCAGCATTCAATTTGTCCATCAACAAAATCATGAGAACCTTTCAGAAGTCCTAAATCTAAAAGTTATAGAACGTTGTCGACCCCCATGCCCCAGATTTTTTTACCTCCCCGCCCCCACCCAAATTTTTATTTATTGTGCAGGCATGTACACCTACACACCATACGTACAATATAATTAGTCGTATCTACTGACTCTATATTAGTATCTACTGACTATAGTAGTATCTACTGACTATAGTAGTAGCTACTGACTCTATATTAGTAGCTACTGACTATGGTAGTATCTAATAACTCTTTAGTAGTATCTACTTACTGTAGTAGTATCTACTTACTGTAGTAGTATCTACCGACTCTATAGTAGTAGCTACTGACTCTATAGTAGTATCTACTGACTCTACAGTAGTACCTACTGACTGTATTAGTATCCATTGACTATAGCTGTATCTACTGCAGCTATAGTCGTATATACTGACTGTAGTAGTATGTACTGACTGTAGTAGTATATACCGACAATAGTAATAACTACTGATTCTCTATGATGTTAGCCCGGCCGTTAGCATTATTGAGGGAGGGATCTCGGGGGCTAGCGACCCCCACACATGGTCTGTGCCATGACCTCCTGCTCATGCACCTAGCCTGCCACAGTATTCGACCCATAGACACCCACCGACGAACCCCACCGAGGCATGCACTACCTACCAACCACTAAGATTCACCCACAGCCCACCAACTCCACCCACCCACCCCAGATACACATCGACAACCACCGCGCTTATCCGCATTGGGAATTCAAATCACCTTTCCCTCCCTCCCCAATCTCCACTCTCTCCCTCTTCTCCATCCTCCACTCTCTCCCTTTTTAAAAATCCTTTATATTAAGTTCACTTGCTTGCTTGCTTACGACCGTGCAAATCTTTCGGTAGTTTTTTAACCCACTTCCCGTGATCCAATCGAGCTGACATTTTCCACACAGACTCGTTGTGCGTGATAATTAATGTTCGTAAAAAAAAATTCTCCAAAATTTTACACTTTTTATGACAAAAATATTATATTTAATTACCAATTGCTTAATGGTGCCATGCAATCATCTGACCCATAGGTGGCAGCCATCTCAAGCCAGAGGACGAGAGGACTCTAGCCACCACGCATATAAAGGATTTATAGTGACAAACTTGGTTTTTACGGGTTATACTTGTCCTTTGTTACGATCAGAAGAATCAGAAAGATGCTCGGTTTTTCGGCACTTTGCTTCGTTCATCATGTCGTTTTTTTTTGTTTGCTTTTCTGCCCCGTTTTAAATCAAATATATTACACGATTTCCCTGTGTTACATGAATCCCATTGTGTGCCACTGTGTTCATAGACACCAACAAGAAAAAATCACCCACAAACACACTTAACCAGATCACCTGCATTCGTCACATTACACAAAGCACCCTCGGTAGTCTCTCTCTCTCTCTGTTCACAAAGGTTCCAGTGCCTGACACCATAGCAATAATTGAAGAATTAGTCCAACATGGACTGAACCCTGATGTCCCTGCTCTGGTTAGGCACTGCCTCACCACCAACACTTACTTCACCTGGAATGGTACCTTCTACAAACAAAATGAGGGCACCCCTATGGGTCCCCCCTTGTCACCAGTGAAAGCCAATGTTTTCATGGAGAAATTTGAAACAGACGCCATCCAGACATCCACTCTGCGTCCTTCCCTGTGGAAGAGATACGTGAATGATACTTTCGTCATTTGGCCACATGGCCTCCCAGCACTGAACCAATGTCTAGATCAAATCAACTCCATGCACCCATCCATCATATTCACCATGGAAGTGGACAACGATGGTAAGCTACTATTCCTGGATGTTTTGTTTCAGAGGAGACGAAATGGCTCTTTGGGACATTCTGTTTACAGGAAGGCCACCCACACAGATTCCTACCTGAAACCTGATTCCGACCACCATCCGGCACAAAAGAATTCCCTCATCAAAACACTATACCATAGGGCCCACTGCATCTCTGACCAAAAACACCTGGCCAGTGAATTGGAACATGTACATCTTGCCCTCAAGATGAACGGATACTCGGACCGTGCTATCCACGAGGCTGTTTCTCCCACCGTGGAGATCAAGAACATTACGTTGCCATACATAGCAGGTGTGACCAAACATATTTCCAAAATTCTAAACAAACACAAGATCTATGTCCGATTCAGTACAGTACACAAGGTCTGTGATCTGATCCCATCCGTAAAGGATGTCATTCCTGACTTACAGTACCCTGGTGTCTACAAACTGAGTTGCACTTGTGGGGATTGTTATATCGGGGAAACGAAACGACACATTTATGATCGCATTCGCGAGCACAAGTCGGATTTGAAACATGGTAGAACGAATTCTTCGGCCGTAGCTGACCACTGTTGTAATACTGCTGGCTCTCATGACATTGTGTTCTCCAATACCAAGGTACTCTGTAAACCTCCAGGTTACTACCATATAATTGTCCATGAAGCCATCCAGATATACAAACATAGACGTAACTTCAACCGAGATGATGTATTCAGATTGAGCAATCATTGGAAGCATGTAATTAACCAAGCTCAATTTTAGCTGCCGTGCAGTTTACTACTAGACAGCCAGTTTATATGTATTCTTATATCCATTTTCCCAGCTTTACGCACTACCATCACCATTACCACACGTTGTTTTCGAGCGTGAAAGTTTAGCTTAAGCTTTTCTAATTTTCCAGATATACAAACATAGACATAACTTCAATCGAGATGGCGATTCAAATTGAGCAATCAGTGGAAGGATGTAATTAACCAAGTTTAGAATTTAGCTGCCGTGCAGTTTACTGCTAAACAGCCAGTTTATATTTACTCTCATAATCATATCCATATTAATTCTCATAATGTTACAGTCATATCCAGCCTGATACACCACCATCACTAAGACATTTTGATTTACAACAGTGTTTCATTCCCATTCGCCATTCATCGTACTGGCACGTACATTTATTGTACAAGCACCAAGATGGTTATCTCCCCCCCCCCACCTCACTAGCTCCTCCCTGCCGAGCACCCGACATAACAACACGTGTCTCTGAATAACTCTCTTCATACGCGACAGCAATTTTACTGGAGCAGTTACACCTGATGACAGAGGCTTGTGTTGCTTCCGAAATGTCGTGAGTTAATTTATTTTAATTTTTTACCTACGTGACTTTACCGAAAAAAACAAAGAGTGTGGATATATGTTCTGGAGAAAAGATATTTCTCAAGCACTGTGCTACTGTTGAAGCTATTTCATCATTATTGATTGAAACAAAGATCCCTTTGCATCAAACAAACCCTCCTTAGTTTTGCGCCTACCGTTCTGCCTCCCTAATGAGAAGAAAAGTGTCGAGCTAGAGTCCAGATCCAGGGTATTTTAAAACGAGAGTGTACAAATGCCCCTTTTTCCTTTTCTTTCTCCAAACCTTGTAGATATTCCAGGGTTTTCACATGTCCCTGTAGTAGGCCTGGATTGTACCCCCTATTCCACCTTTGTTCTACATTATGGACCCTGCTCTCAAGCTCACACATTTCCTGGTCAATGTTTTGTGTTTCCCAAGGCATACGACTGACAGTTTTTTTTAAATGTGTACTTTCCCCTCTGTCCCATCATTGTGCTAGATTATTAAAAACGATCTTTCTTTCCCTGCCACTCCACCCAGAACACCCCAAAAAGATGAGTGAAGGTGGTGTCATGCAAAAGGGCATTATTGAAATGGCAGTATGCCGATCCCTTTGGGACTCCTCGTATTTTCATTTGGAGTAGTATAAAGTGATGATCCGCCAGTGGTGCAGCTTAAATTCAGGATGACACTGCACTATTTTCAAGGTCAATCTTTAACTGCGATAATGGTTCTTGTAAAGGTGAAACCTTGCCGGTTTGGATGCTATGTCCACCACACGTGTACCAGATTGTATGTGCGGCACATCATTGATGGGTGTGTAGTGAGTTCAACTGAGTCGCAGACTTCCACTTGGAGGCAGCGCATTAGTTTAGTTCCAACACACGGGGTAAACTCTCCCCTTAACAGAATAACAACCTCGGGTGGTGACCACCCGGCTAACTACATTAGTTACCACGTAACTGTTAACTACGGACCCGGGATCAACAGCATACTTCCCGAGTCCACGTGCTGGAAGACTCGCAGAACGGGGATCGTAGACTAAGGGCTTCTTTCCCGGGATGAACAACCACGATGCCTCTCGGGACTCGGCTCTTATTCTCTGCGGTGTGGCCAGCTCCACCCTTGGCCACGTCCCCCTTCCAGAACCATCGGGAAGGACCTGGGTCCCAATCACGTGACCCCCCTAACCCCCTCTTGGGGGCCCCCCTGTCATCTTAACCGGTCGCGTGTCCTCCCGGGTCAACCAGAGTGCCGTGGCCTTACACGACCTTCCCCTTAGGTGGGCACACACACACACTGTCCTGTCGGGACGGCACTGCACCTACAGCATGGTGAGTGACATCCAGTGATGTTACTCATCACACACCGTGCCACTCTAGGGCCGGTACTGCACCCAAAGCATGGTGACATCCAGCGATGTCACTACAGGTGTATGAATGTCAATGTGGAGAGAAATGTCGATTTAAAGCTTTCATGACTGCAGGGATTCATCTTCTTGGTTCTTTCGGTAAAGTCACGTAGAAGGGACTTTACCTTTTACGTGACTTTACCGAAAGAACCAAGAAGAGAGAAATGTCATTAAGTTTGATTGTTACCCTGAGGGCTGTCTCTCTCTCCCCCCCGTGTCTCTCTCTTCCCCCGGTGTCTCTCTCTCCCCCCCGTGTCTCTCTCTTCCCCCGGTGTCTCTCTCTCCCCAAGTGTCTCTCTCTTCCCCCCGTGTCTCTTTCTCCCCGTGTCTCTCTCCCCGTATCTGTCTCACCGTCTCTCTCTCTCCCCGTGTCTGTCTCCCCGTGTATCTGTGTCTCTCTACCCGTGTTTCTCTGAGGAAAAAGATGCTGGAAGGTGACACTGATGGCTGCTCTGTGCTTCCAGTGTTCAGGGGCCTGTTTAAGGCGCGGCTCCGGCTGGAGCACGCGTACCACACACATGTCGGTGATGTGCACGTCTTCTTCGAACGCTGGGTGGCCGGACAAGCCCCTCTCTGTACCAGCGTGGACGGCACCCTCGTGTTCACCGTGGCATGCGCCATGACCACCACCACGTGGCTTTTATTTCGTGTTGTGCGCGGTGCATTAAGCGCCACAGAGCGTCGATTTGTAGCGTTTATTTATTTGTTTGCTGGTGACTGCGTATTTCATATTGGAATCGCCTCCAGTGCTGTTGCTGCTGGCGGCAATAAAAGTTTTTTTTCAAAGTCAAAAGTCTCCCCGTGTCTCTCTCCCCGTGTCTCTCTCCCCGTGTCTCTCTCTCCCCGTGTCTCTCCCCCCCGTGTCTCTCCGTGTCTCTCTCCCTGTGTCTCTCCGTGTCTTTCTCCCCGTGTCTCTCTCCCCGTGTCTTTCTCCCCGTGTCTCTCTCCCCGTGTCTCTCTACCCGTGTCTCTGTGTCTCTCTCCCCGTGTCTCTGTGTCTCTCTCCCCGTGTCTCTGTGTCTCTCTCCCCGTGTCTCTGTGTCTCTCTCCCCGTGTCTCCCTCACCGCCCGGAGCCAATCACCATCGGGCGGAACTAAACCTCCTCGGAACCTAAAAAATCGCGCGGGCGTTCAGCTGCGCCGCGTTTCCTGCGGACTCGGACCCTTGACTCTGGGACAAGATGGCGGCTCCCTGTGAGTAGTGACCCCGGCGACTTTAACTCAGGGAACGACTCAGAGAGAGACTTAGGGGACGACTCGGAGAGAGACTCAAAGAACGACTCAGGGAACGACTCAGAGAGAGACTCAAAGAGAGACTCAAAGAATGACTCAGGGAACGAATCAGAGAGAGACTCAAAGAACGACTCAGGGAACGACTCGGAGAGAGACTCAAAGAACGACTCAGGGAACGACTCGGAGAGAGACTCTGGGAACGACTCAGGGAACGACTCAGAGAGAGCCTCAGATAGAGACTCAGTGAACGACTCAGTGAACGACTCGGGGAACGAATTGGAACGATTCAGAGACTCAGAGAGTGACTCGGGGAACGACTCAGAGAATTACTCATTCAGAGGACGACTCGGAGAACGATTCAGAGAGAGAGAGACTCAGGGGACGACTCAGAGAGAGACTTAGGGGACGACTCAGGGGACGACTCAGGGGGCGACTCAGGGAACGACTCAGGGAACGACTCAGGGAACGAAACGGAGAACGACTCGGAGGACAACACGACCACACCACAGATAACTCAGAACCACATGGCCACTACAGTTACGCAATGACGCAGTTAGTCACAGTCACAACACCAGTCGCATTAGCACAGAAAGTCACACGGAGACCACAATCACACAGACACCACAGACACAGACAAAGATCCCCCGTATAGCCTTAGACTGTAGAGGCAAGTGCTGTTAGCGAGCACCTATGAAGGCCGGAACGGCACACGAGGGGGTGGGTGGCCAGCATCACGCCCAGCCGCCTTTGTCTCCCCAGTGGCGATGTTTACACACCGCACCAGGTACTCATTTGAGGCTGAGCCGACCTAGGGGAGGCCCGGAATTGGTTCAGATAATCGTCACTGGGTGTTTGCCGTGAGCGGGAATCGAACCCGGGTCGCCAGGTTCGTAGCACAGCGCGCTAACCGCTACACTACCGCCCCACAGAGACCACCGTCACACCGTCACACCCTCGCCACATCGTTAGCTCGGATGCAGGCTCCACGGCTTCGACTGCGTTCTGCATCCCAGTTGCCTTCATCGCCTCCCTCAGTTCTGCCACTCGCACGGCCCTGTGAAGCCACTGTGATGTCACCTAATCTCCCCCGCTCCCTGTCTCTCTCCTCTCTCTTCTCTCCCTGTCTCTCCTCTCCCCATCCTCGTCTCCCCGTGTCCCCTGTCCCTCCCTGTCTCCCCATATCCCCGTGTCTCTGTCTCCATGTGTTCCCGTGTGTTTGTGTCTCCCCTCCAGTGCTCCGCGCTGTCCGTGCTGCTGCTGCTGCCACCCCTTCGTCTCTGTGGTGAGAGGCGCTTTCGGGCCACTCGGCGGTGAACGTCAGAGCCTGGGGGGGGGGGGCTGGCGGGGGGGCAAGGGGGTGGGTGTGTATGTTGATGTGTGTACGTGTGTACATGTGTCCGGAAAAAACAACCTCCTGCCTCCTCGGTGGTGCCGGACGTTAACGATGTGGTGAATGCGTGCAATGCCATGGAGGGAAGGCCAATTCTATTCGGCTTTTCCCCTCTTGCAGCCACCACAGCCGCCATTGGGGGCTCTGGATGGATGCGAGGGGGTGGTAACCCCTCCACCTTCAATACATGTACCACTAAAACACGTGCTAAAAATCCAACTAAGCTTGTGCCGGAGGCCTTGGGGGCGGGGGGGGGACAGGCGTCTATGACGTCTCCTGGCCAAAACCCATTTGGCAGAACCAGGAATCTGAATCCTTACCCTCGGGGTTCCTCCAGAAATAGCAAAAAGTCACTGCGAGTGGCCACGTGGAATGTTCAAACGCTGGCTGTGGATGTGAGGCTGCCACTCCTCTGTCGGGAGCTGGACCAGTACTACCTGGATCTTTGCATTATTCAGGAGGTCTGGTGGACTGGCTCTGGTTCCAGTCATCATGAGAGGTGGATAGTACTCTACTCGGGGCAGAAGACTGCCAAACAACAGGGAGTGGCTCTTTCTGAACAAAAGAATGAAGGGAGTGTGGGAGCGTGACTTTGAGGTGTAGGAAGCTGTACGCCCCAGGCTACTGTGGGCTCACCTTCCCTTCAACCAGATGCGAGGTGAGGTGGTGGTTACTTATACCCTCACCAAAGATGAACTTCACTTGAGGGATGCAGGCAAGGTCGATGATTCAGATGCCTTCTATGACTTGTCAGGTGCTAGCTAAAGTGGCTCCTCGGGATAGAGTCATCTTGTTGGGTGACTTTAATGCCAGAATGGGTCATGATTCTGGCACCTGGGCTGGAGTAATTGGAAGGAATGGGCCAGATCAGCTCAATAACAATGGTAGGAGGCTGCTAAACTTCTGTTCACACCATGAACTTGTAATTACCAACACACTGTTCTGGCATCGCCACATCCACACGACATCATGGATGCATGGCGGGTCCAAGCAAGAACATCTGGTGGACTATATAGTGATGGAACACCAGGACCTACCGTGGAGCTGATCTGCCCACTGACCATCGACTTGTCATCTGTAAGATGCCTGCCATTCTTCCACTCCGGTGGTGATTGTACATCCAGGACCCCATTCAAACCCACAGCGGCCTGATCTCAGCTAGCTGAAGAAGCTCTCTCTGGTGTGGACCAATCAGTTTCAAAGACAATGCATATATTATCAGAGTATGTTATTAGTTTGCATTCTGACCACAAGTATTGTGGTTAACGCACACATGATTCCCTTTGAAATGTTTCATTTCGGTGTTTTAACATCGTAACACCTGTTTTGTTGCCAGAAAAAAAGGGGAAAACCTCTTCTCATGTTTTGGTACACTGGCAAAGGAGGTCCCATGATGATTGCAAGAAGTCGTCACCCCCTGTGAGTGGTTGGCTGAATTGCGATCGGGTGAGGAAGTACAAAAGGCGACCCAGAGCCTGAGACCAGGAAAGGTGCCAAGCAGAGATGATCTCCCAAGTGAAATGCTGATGGAGGGTGGCGTTTGTGCGCAGACTGCCCCATATGACAGTCTGGACCACTGGATGGGTTCCGTAGGGTTGGAATGATGCCCTGGTGGTCCCCATCTTTAAAAAGGGGGACCACACAGACTGTAACAGCTACAGGGGCATCTCCCTCCTCAGTGTGCCCGGAAAGGTCCTGGAAAGGATTATTCAACATCGCCTTGCCAGGAACCTTGAGGAGAGGCTTGCGGAGCCCCAATGTGGTTTCAGGAAAGGGCGGTCCTGTACAAATGCCATATTATCTGTTCTTCTACGATAGCCGAGGTGTAGGGAATTCCAACAGGACCTACATATCTGTATTTTGACCTGGTTAAGGCCTATGATACCATCAATAGGGCTGGGCTTTATGTTGTTTATCGTGCTTTCGGAGTCACTCACTCTCTGCTCAAAATAAGGATTATTCAACATTACCTTGCAAGGCATGCTGAGGAGAGGCTTGCGGGACCCCAATGTGGTTTGAAGCCAGGGCAGTCCTGCACAGATGCTATATTTTTTGTCCGTCTGGTACAACAGATGTGTAGGGAATTCCAACAGGACCTACATCTCTGCTTTATTGACATGGTCAAGGCCTATGATACCATACCTAGGCGTGGACTCTCATGATGGTGGGCAGATGTTCGTAAAACTATGTGGCGATTCCCTGTTCACATTGGTGTGCGAGAAGGATTATTTAAACTTTTTTTCTGCCATGGAGTTCATGAAGCCTTCTATGGCCGTACCGGAGGAATCTCCATCGAGTACAGATACAACGGGAGGCTGATCGATGCCTGGGTGCAGTCAAGGGATAGCTTCCGTGTTGGTCAACTATGTTATGTATGCTGATGATCTGGTGAATACTGCTCACTTCGAGAAGGAATTGCAGGCGCTGTTACTGAACCTGGAGCATGCCATTAAGAGGTGGGGCCTTACTATCAGACCCACCAAAACTAAGCACCTGCCTGAGTATGTTGTGCCATCAATCACTCCACCCCTCAGCTCCCCATTGGTGATGGAGCAGTTGTGGAGAGATTGAAGCATTTTCCATACCTGGGCAGCATGCTTATGACCAACTCAGGTTTGACAGCAAATGTTTCAATCTGAATCAGTTGGACGGAATTATATTTTCATCGGCTGCGCAATGCTGTCTAGAAGCTCCCTGGTCTGTCGCTCTGCACAAATCTTTGGGTTTTCTCGGCCACAGTCATGCCCTTTCTTCTATACGCTTGCGAAACGTGGACTCAACCTAGTGGAACATCTTCGTTAGTTATAAACATTTGGGCTTTCATGCCTACAATCCATCCTGAGTTTAACCAGGCTGTATTGTGTGAGGAGCTCACAATGAAAAAAAAAATATGGACAAAGTCCCATCGGTCAGCTCCTCCGGCAGGCAAGGCTGCATTGGCTGGGTCATGTAGCTCACATGCCCAGCCACCGCATGCCTAAACAGCTTTTGTTTTGCCAGATAGAGGGAGCTAAATGGGCGCGGCACAGGCGAGAGAGCAGATGGAGTGATGTGGCACAAGAGGATGTGTAGCTGAGTGGACTTGCCGATGACTGGTACCAGTGGTGTCAAAATTGGCCTCTGTGGAGGAGGCTCGTGAAGGATGCTGCTGGGCAGTTGGAGGCAGTCGCCCTCCAGCAACAACGCAGGGCAGCAGAGCGACACTCACAACAACGAGCGGAGTGCCGGGCGGATAAAACACAGCAAGTTGGCACTGTCAGGGGCACAGGTGGTGCATCAGCCAGTCATCTCAGTCAATCAACCCATGGCAACTGCAGGGTCTGTTCCGTGACCTCCTGCCAACGGGCGTTCGACATTTCACATGGCCTTAACGTGCACTTAACCTGGCACAAGTTCCGTAGTGATGTCACTGCCACCTAAGCTCGAATGGTGGTTGTTGTGTGTGTGTGTGTCCGTGCATGTGTGTACGCTGATGCCTACGTGCGTGTACACGCCGGCCTTCATAGTTGCTACTCGCTAACACCACTTGCCGCAACAGTCTATATGGGGGATCTTTATCTTTGTGCGTGTGCAGGCATGCTCCGGGCATGCGTGGGGCCGGCTCGTTGGCGTCACTGCCTCCGGCCACCGTCCCCTCGAGCCGCGGGGAGTTTGTGGTGACTAAGCTTGACGACCTCGTCAACTGGGCCCGCAGGGTGTGCCACTCACCCACTCACTACTACACTACACACTAAACTACTACACAGTCCCTCCAGAAAAACGCGGAGTTTTTTGGTGATTGTTGCGGGCAAAAATCGTTGATTATGCGGCACGTTTTCTTAAAAAATGCGATGGAATATGCGGGATATTTATGCAATTTTATGCGATTAAATTGCGGGAACTTGCAAAAATTGCGGGAACTTGCAAAAATTGCGGGAACTTGCAAAAACTGCGGTTTGATGAAAAAGAGAAAAAAAAGTGATTCCCCCAACACCCTATTCACTAGGCTACTACTTTAATGTAAAGAGTCATTTCTTATTACTTCCTATGATAAGCAAGCATACTACATCACAGAAAGTGCTGGGAATATTTAAGTTCTCATCTTGTTTTATTTCAGACCTTAACAAACAGATGGCTCAAACTTACAAAACATTGAGTCGAACAAGTTCTGTAGCTTTACAAAATGAATATGCTACAACTTCTGTAAAAATGAATAAATAAAATATTAAAAAATAAAATGTGTGCTTCCTGTTTTACAGAGGTAGCTATACAAAACAGACATCTTCTGTTAAAATAAGTGTTTTCAGTGCACAGTAACGTAAGCAATACAGTAACAGTACAGTCTTACAGTAATGTAAATTTACATACTACTAACAAAAAAGTGCAATCTTACAACTGTAAAGTTGCATAAACTCCTGAATAAAACTAACTACGTAGCCTCTAACACTTCATAACGTTCCCATGGCAACAGGGGAAATGGCTGCGCTTGTGTGAAGTAAACGCAACATTTTTCAACTTTCTGCTAAGATATATGTGACTTTTTGCAACGAAAATGCGGGGATTATGAAATCATGCAAGCCCGCATATTTTGCGCGCGGAAATCTGCAATTTATGCGGCAAAAGTGCGGCGTATTTGAAAAAACGTGCCCCCCGCATAAATATGCGGACTTTGGCTGATTTTGCGTGGAATCTTGCGATCGCATAATCGCGTTTTTCTGGAGGGACTGACTACACTAATACACTTCACACTAAACTATACACTACTATACGCTACACTATGCACCACTACACTACTATACACTACTACACTATACACTACATTACTACACTATACACTACACTGCACTACTACACACTACACTACTATACACTACTGTACTACACTATACACTACATTACTGTACACGACACGATACACTACTCGACACTACTCCACTCACTACTACACTATACACTACTATACTATACACTACTATACTATACACTACTAGACTATACACTACACTATACACTACTATACTATACACTACTCTATACTATACACTACACTATACACTACACTATACACTACTATATTATACACTACTATACACTACACTATACACTACACGAGTATACAGTACTATACACTAAAAAACAACACTACTACACTATACACTACACAAGTATACACTACACTACTATACACTACACTATACACTACTCCACTCACTACTACACTATACACTACTATACTATACACTACTATACTATACACTACTACACTATACACTACACTATACACTACTATACTATACACTACTATACACTACACTATACACTACACTAATACACTTTACACTACACTATGCACTACTACACTACATTACTACACTATACATACACTACATTACTACACTATACACTACACTATACACTACTACACACTACTATCCACTACACTACACACTACGATACACTACACTATACACTACTACGGCTGCCCGTCTGGCTACGAACCTGGCAGCCCGAGTTCAAGTCATGCTCACGGCCAACACCGGCGGCGATTATCGACTCAGCCTCAAATCAGTACCTGATGCGATGTGTAACCATGGCCACTAGGAAGAGAAACGTGGCTGGGCGTCGTGTTGGCCACCCACGCCCCTCTTGTGCCGTACCGGCCTTCATAGCTGCTTGCTAACAGCACTTGTCCCTACAGTCTATTAAGGCTATATTGGGGATCTTTGTCTTCTTCTATCTGAATACCTGTGTATGTGTGTGTACGTTTGTGTATATGTTTGTACGTGTGTGTACTTTCTTACAGAGCTCACTATGGCCCATGACGTTTGGCCTGGCGTGCTGTGCGGTGGAGATGATGCACATGGCCGCCCCGCGCTACGACATGGACCGGTTTGGCGTCGTGTTCCGTGCGTCCCCGCGCCAGGCGGATGTCATGATCGTAGCCGGGACACTCACCAACAAGATGGCGCCTGCCCTGCGCAAGGTACGCACGAGTGGGGGGGACGATGTGACGGGGAAACGCACGGGGAGAGATGTGGGGAGACGCGGCGTGGGGACGCGGGGAGAGACGCGGGGAGACGCGGCGTGGAGACGCGGGGAAACGCACGGGGAGAGACGTGGGGAGACGCGGCGTGGGGATGCGGGGAGAGACACAGGGAGACGCGGGGAGAAACAGGGAGACACGGGGAGAGACATGAGGAGATGCACGCGGAGACGCGACGGGGAGAGGCATGGGGAGACACGGGGAGAGACACGGGGAGATGTGGGGAGAGACGCAGGGAGACACGGGAAGAGGCGGGGAGAGACATGGGGGGAGACGCACGGGGGGAGATGAAGAGACACGGAGACACGGGGAGACACGGAGAGACACGGGGAGATGTTACAGGGAGACCCAGGGAGAGGCGGGGAGAGGGGGAGATGCGGCAGGGAGAGGCACGGGGAGACACGGGGAGACATCGGGAGACGCAGGGAAAAATGGGTGGTGGTGATTGTGTGTGATGGTGATTATTGTGGGGAGCGGTAGTGTAGCGGTTGGCGTGCTGCGCTATAAACCGACGACCTGAGTTCAATTCCTGCTCACGGTCAACACCACCACCCGAGACAATAATTTGAACCGGTCCTGGGCCTCTTCTAGGTCGACTCAGCCTCAACTGAGTACCTGGTGCTGTGTGTAAACATCGCCACTGGGGAGACAAAGGCAGCCTGGGCGTGGTGCTGGCCACGCACCCCCTGATGTGCTGTGCCGGCCTTTGTCGGTGCTCGCTAACAGCACTTACCCCTATAGTCTGTTAAGGCTATACGGGGGATCTTTGTCTCTGACAGTGATTGTGTCTGTGGTGTATCTGTGTGTATCTGTGTGTGTGTGTCTGTGTGTGTATCTGTGCATGTATCTGTGTGTGTGTGTCTGTGTGTATCTGTGTGTGTATCTGTGTGTGTGTGTCTGTGTGTGTATCTGTGTGTGTATCTATGTGTGTGTGTCTGTGTGTGTGTGTCTGTGGTGTATCTGTGTGTGTGTGTCTGTGGTGTATTTGTGTGTGTGTGTGTCTGTGTGTGTGTCTGTGTGTGTGTCTGTGCGTGTGTCTGTGTGTGTGTCTGTGTGTGTGTGTCTGTGTGTCTGTGTGTGTGTCTGTGTGTGTGTCTGTGTGTGTTTGTGTGTGTATCTGTGCGTGTATCTGTGTGTCTGCAGGTTTATGATCAGATGCCTGAACCTCGCTGGGTTATCTCCATGGGAAGGTTAGTTTGTGAGTGTGTGTGTGAAAGTTTGTGTGTGTATCTTCGTGTTTTTGTGTGTTCATGGGAACAAGAGTGAGTGAGTAGGTGTGTCTGTGTGGGTGAGTATGTATGGGTGAGTGTATGCGTGGATGTGGGTGAGTGGGTGCCTCAAATATTGGAAGAGGAAGTCACCCCCTGTGAGTGGCTGTCTGAGGTGCCATCTGTTGAGGAAGTACTGAAAGGCATCGGGCAGTGATGATCTCCCAAGCGAAATGCTGAGGGAGGGTGGCGTTTGTGCACTTGCCCTACATGACATCATACCAACAGTCTGGACCGCTGGACGGGTTCCGGAGGACTGGAAGGATGCCCTGGTGGTCTCCATTTTTAAGAAGGGAGACCGCACAGACTGTAACAACTACAGGGGCATCTCACTCCTCAGTGTGCCGGGAAAGGTCCTGGCAAGGATTATTCAACATCGCCTTGCCAGGCACGCTGAGGAGAAGCTTGTGGAGCCCCAATGTGGTTTCAGGAAAGGGCGGTCCTGCACAGATGCCATGTTTTCTGTCCGTTTGCTACAGCAGAGGTGTAGGGAATTCCAACAAGACCTACATCTCTGCTTTATTGACCTGGTCAAGGCCTATGATACCATCAGTAGGCTTGGGCTCTGGGTTGTTCTTCGTGCTTTCGGAGTCCCTGACCCGTTGCTCACGATCATTAAGGACTTTCATGATGGTGAGCAGGCCCGGGTAAAACTACGTGGCCGGAGTCGGAGCCATTCCCTGTTCACTTTGGGGTGCGACAGGGATGTCCTCTGGCTCCAACTGTATTTAACATCTATTTCGACCACATAGTTCGAATTTCCATCTGGTACAGATACAATCGGAGGCTGATCGATGCCCGGGCGCGGTCAAGGGATGGCTCCCTATTGGTCAACCACATTATGTATGCCGATGACCTGGTAATTGCGGCTTACTCAGAGGAGGAGTTGGAGGCGCTGCTGCTGAACCTGGAGCTTGCCACTAAGAGGTGGGGCCTTACCATCAGCCCCACCAAAACGAAGCACCTGCCTGGGTATTTTGTACCATCGGGCACTCCATCCACCCCCAAAGCTCCCAATCGGTGATGGGGCAGTTGTGGAGAGAGTGGAGAGTTTCCCATACCTAGGCAGTGTGCTCATGACCGGCTCCGGTTTAACAGCAGAGGTCTCACTCCGAATCAGTCGAGCGGCATTATCTTTTATCGGTTGCATAACGCTGTGTGGTTGCTACCTGGTCTATCACTCTGCACGAAGCTTCAGGTCGTCTCGGCCACGGTCATTCCCTCCCTTCTCTACGCTTGCGAAACGTGGACACCCCTAATGGAACATCTTTGACGGTTAGAAACATTTAGGCTGGCCTGCCTACGATCCATCCTGGGTTTAACCAGGCTGGATTTTGTAAGGAGCTCACAAATCCTTAAAAGATCTGGGCACATTACCATCAGTGAGCTCCCGCAGGAAAGGCTGCATTGGCTGGGCCATGGAGCATGCATGCCCAGCCAACGCATGCCCAAGCAGCTTCTTTTTGGCTAGATGGAGGGGGCTTAATGGGCACGGCACGGACTGGAGAAGAGATGGAGTGATGCGGTTCGGGAGGATATGAAGCTGTGTGGACTTGCCGAACACTGGTATCAGCGATGTCAAGATCAGCCTCAGTGGAGGAGGCTCGTGAAGGATGCTATTGGTCAGATGGAGGCAGTCGCCCTCCAACAATAACTGAGGGCAGAGGAGCGACGTTCACAACAGCGAGCGGTGTGCCGATGGTGCATCGGCCAGTCATCTCAGTCAGCCAACCCGTGGCACCTGGGCCTGTCCCGTAACCCCCTGCCAGCGGCCATTCGACACTTCACGTGACCTTAACGTGCATATCGCCACTTAGTGGCGAATATCGGTTGTATATATCTATGTTTGTGTGTGTGTGTGTGATTGGTTGTGTATATCTGTATGTATATATCCGTGTGTGTATATGTCTGTGTCTGTGTGTGCTGGTGTAGCTGTGCCAATGGAGGTGGCTACTACCACTACTCTTACTCAGTGGTGCGTGGCTGTGACCGCATCGTCCCCGTTGACATCTACGTGCCCGGTGAGGCTCCTGACACGCACGCACATGCACACAGACGTACGCGCACACACAAAGATCCCCCGTATAGCCCTAGCAGACTGTAGGGGCAAGTGCTGTTAGCGAGCACCTATGAAGGCCGGAACGGTACACGAGGGGGTGGGTGGCCAGTACCACGCCCGACCGCCTTTGTCTCCCTAGTGGCAATGTTTACACACCGCACCAGGTACTCATTTGAGGCTGAGTCGACCTAGAGGAGGCCCGGGACCGTTTCAGATAATCATCACTGGTGTTGGCCGTGAGCGGGAATCTAACCCGTGTCGCCGGGTTCATAGCGCAGCGCGCTAACCGCTACACTACCGCTCCCCACACACACACACACATGTACAAAGACAAAGATCCCTGGTATAGCCTCAACAGACTGTTGGGGCAAGTGCTGTTAGCAAGCAGCACCTATGAAGGCCGGCACGGCACACAAGAGGGTGGGTGGGTGGCCAGCAACCACGCCCGGCCACCTTTGGCGATGTTTACTCACCGACCGGTTCAGATACCACTGGTGTTGGCCGTGAGCAGGAATCGAACGTTCACACACATATACATACGTATACACACAACAACAACAGCAACCGCCATTCGCCACTAAGTGACGGTGACATCACCACGGTGCCTGTGCCAGGCTATGTGCACGTTAAGGCCACGGGAAGTGTCGAACGCCCGCTGGCAGGAGGTCACTGGACCGCCCCTGTTGCCCTGGTTTGCCTGACTGAGATGACTGGCCGATGCACCACCTGTGCCCCATATTGTGCCAACAATGTTCGAACACATGCACGCACACATGCACGCGCACGCACCCACACACACGCACCATAAGCACACACACACACGCGCGCGCGCACCACAAACGCACGCGCACACACGCACACACGCACAAGCGCACACACACATACCACACGCACGCGCGCGCACTCACGGCCGGTCCGCAGCCGATCCCAATACTGAGCTACGTAGCTCTTTTTCAGAAGCCTTGAGCTGGCTACCACCAACCATAGCTCGACCAAGTGGGCATGCGTCTGCGGTGTGCGTGGTGTGTGCGCGTGTGTGCGTATGTGCATGTGGTGTATGTGTGTGCACAGTGCGTGCATGTGGTGTGTGCGCGTGGTGTGTGCGTGCGTGTAGTGTGTGCGTGCGTGTGTACGTGTGGTGCGTATGAGTGTCTGGATGTGGGGAGCGGTAGTGTAGTAGCGGTTAGAGTGCTCCATTACGAACCCGGCAAACCGAGTTCGATTCCCGCTCACGGCCAACACCGGTGACGATTATATGAACTAGTCCTGGGCTCCCCTAGGTCGACTCAGCCTCAAATGAGTACCTGGTGTGGTGTGTTAACTTTACTGCTAGGCGGCTGGGCGTGGTGTTGGCCACCCACCCCCTCGTGTGCCGTGCCGGCCTTCATAGGTGCTGCTCGCTAACAGCACTTGCCCCTACAGTCTGTTAAGACTACACGGGGGATCTTTGTCTTTGTTGTGCTCGTGGTCTCCAGGCTGCCCTCCCACAGCGGAGGCTCTCCTCTACGGAGTGCTGCAGTTGCAGAAGAAAATCAAGAGGCAGAAAGTGATCCAGATGTGGTATCGGAAGTAGACAGCCACCACCACCGTCACCACCGTCACCACCGTCACCACCATCAACATCTCCATCGCAACCGCCGCCTCCACCATCGCTGCTACCACCGCCACCACCGCCACCACCGCCACCACCGCCAGGACCACCACTGCCACCGCCACCACCGCCACCAGGACTGCCAGAATCGGCGCGTCTGCTGCTGCTGCTGTGGTTTTGGCTCGCGATTAGCACGATTGGCTACATAGAGGTTCAACGTATAGACATGCAACACACAGACATGCAACACACAGACATGCAACACACAGACATGCAACACACAGACATGCAACATACAGACATGCAACATACATATAACGTAATACTTACAACGTGCATACGTGGCGTCCGCGTGTTCCCCGTGGGTCGAGTGTCGGTTTGTCCGTGTGTCTTGAGTGTGTGTACGAGTGTGTACGTGTGTGCGTCCTTGTGGGGAGCGGTGAGTGGTACGCTGCGCTAAGAACCCGGCCACCCGAGTTCGAATCCCGCTCACGGCCAACACCAGTGATAGAGATTGTCTGAACCTGGTCCTGGGCCTCCCCTAGGTCGACTCAGCCTCAAAATGAGTAGCTGGTGCAGCAGTGGCGTGTGGTAGTAATCATCGTCACCTGGGGGAAAGACAAAGGCGGCCGGGCGTGGTGCTGGCCACCCACCCCCTCGTGTGCCACAGTGCCGGTAGCCTTAATTGGTGCTGCTGGCTGCTCGCTACTCTCAGCCCCTGCCCCAACAGTCTGTTCGAGGCTGCACGGGTGATATTTGTCTGTGTGTGTGTATAGGCACTCGCTACTAGCAACACTTGCCCCAACAGTCTGTTAGAGGCTACACGGGGGATCTTTGTCTTTGCTGTGTGGTGTGGTTTTAGCGTGCTGTTCTTGCCTCGGGTGTAAATCTCTCTCCCCTCTCCTCTCTGCGCGCGCGCACAAAATAAACCACAAACAGCCCCGGGGCGAACGTAAGCTGGACGTTGAGTCGTTATTTGGTCGGTGAGCCCTCTGCTACTCCTTTAAAGGTCTCCCACCACAGCAGACATTGCCCAGCGTGAGGGGGCAAGTGACGAGAGAGAGAGGTCACGGTAGAGAGATGAGATTGGTTAGATTGGTCGGCCTTCCACCACTAGACGAGTTGGGTTAATGTAACCCTGGGGAGGTAAAGATACAACAAACCACACAAAGACATTCACAAGCCCCCGGTGATTGATTATCTTAAAACAATTTACGTAGCGCTTTACGCGAGGCTCTTTGCACACAATTAACAACGGTTACAGCGTATGAGTGTTATTGGTGATTAACGAGGTGAATGAAATGGATGAGAGGAAGCGATGTGGGACGAATCTGTGATGATGCGTGAATTCGGTGAAAGTGAAAATGATGACAGTAAATGATGACACACGGATTCAATCAGTGGGGTTAATGAGTGATCGCCGTGTGATGAGAATATGAGGAGGGAAAAGTCGCGGTGGTAGTTAGGGGCCGTCCATAAATGACGTCACGCACCTGGGGGGGGGGTCAGACATTTGCGACGATGTGTGACGAGGGGGGGGGGGGTTGATGTGATGTCACATCAAAATGCGCAACTTTAAATAAATATAGACAAAACGTTCTACTTAATTAAATATACTCTTTAATAAATGTTTTCTCCTACAACATCAGAGTGCAGTGTTGTGTATGTACCCCCTTTTTATTTTTTTTTTATATTATTTTTTTTTAAGGCTTATTCTGCCATCATATATAATATTGTTTTTTTAATAGACACGGGGCCACGTGGGAACGAACACGCCCCCACACTTCCACAGAGGCCCCCACACTTCCACAGATGCGCGCATACCTCATTTCAAAGGAAAGACGGCATGAAAGAGGGTAATCAAGGTCATAAACTCCCCGAATTTCACACAAGAGGAACAAGGGAGGGGGGAATTGCAGGCGGGGGGTTGCAGAACCAGGAGACACGGAGGAAGAGATAATTATATTCTTAACAAAGAAACAGCATCGACGACAAAAAGCACAGATGGGTCTTTGAACCATGTTAAATACACAAGTTACCAACTCAACCATAAAGATTAAGCAAACAGTATCCATCCTCACTCCAATTGAAAACCAAAAGACAATCTGCACCAGAATCGCGACCCATCATTGTTAATTAAGTACTGACATTATTTACCTTTAAAGAATATCTACACGGCCGGGCCGAAGCATCAAAGAATAATTAGGGCATCTATTTCGCTCCAAAACAAATTCCTAGCCGGGATATCAGATCAAATAATCACAAGAAGTCGAATAATAAGTACGGAATTAAAATAGAAGAGGAATCAAGGGCGGAGAAGGCTCTCAAAATTAACCAAACACAACACCCATGGGAAGCGAGCAACACGACCGCCTTTGTCTTTCCGAGAGGATCTCCACACACAGGCACCAAGCCAGGAAATGACACCCATAAAGGTTGGGTCACGATGAAACATCGTGAACACGGTTTCGGCATAACTGTGCAGATGGAACCAAGCAGCAAATAAGTTGCATTTCAACTTCCAAACCAAACCAACTTAAGCTGTGTGAGACAAAGGTTGTGATCCCAGAGCAAGGGAGGTAATAATTAAGCTCGCTTAACGCGTAAGTTTTCGCGACAAATATTATTCAGTAACAAAACATGGATTCGAATGTTTTTTTTATAACTCGACGCGAATCATCGGTCTGGCTAATGGATAACTTTGGTGGCACCGTCACGAGACCCCCACCCCTTTCTTCCAGAACGACACACACAGCTGTGTCTTCAAAGCTAATAAACACACGGACAAACACGCACGCGAAACACACGGACGGACACACACACGGACGCAGATGGTCCACCCCCACAGGAAGGTTTTATGACACAGCCTTTGAACAACTCGGGAAGCCGAGTGGAATTTTCCGATATAAACCGAAGGAAAATCCATACAAAGCATATCGTCCGGGCTTCGGCTCCAACACACATATCATCCGGGCTACGAGCCCATCTTCGGCTCCACCACAGATCGACAGGGGCTCTGGCCTCCATCACAGTTCGTCAGGGGCTCTGGCCCCCATCACATATCGTCCGGGCTTCGGCTCCAACACACATATCATCCGGGCTACGAGCCCATCTTCGGCTCCACCACAGATCGACAGGGGCTCTGGCCCCCATCACAGATCTCCAGGGCTGTGGCTCCATCTCTCCTCGTCGCCGCCAACGAAGAAGCTCCTGTCATTCAGAATGACGAGGTTTGCGGAGTAGCGACGCGTAGCTACAAGCCGAGGTCTGCACCACCTGAGAAGAATCGCTACCCTGAGTCGCAGAGCTGCGAGTGAAGCCAACAAAGACGCCAACGTCCACCCTGCCACGAACGAAGCATCGCTCCTCGTCAGAGTGACGACCAGCGAACAACCCGCAGGAAAGGCGGAGATCGCTGAACGAGCGACAACGAGCGACACCTTGCGCCACCGAGCGACACCGAGCGACACGAGCGACCGAGCATCTTCAAGGACAGCATCGTGCCAACTCGTCATCTAGCAGTAGAAAGAGAGAGCGCACGAGCAGCACCAAGCCCCGGAACCATCAAGCGCCAAGCAAGCAAGTTTCTTCAAGGAACATCGTGCCAACGCCGCTCAATCCAGCAGTGGAGAGAGAGAGAGAGAGCAAAAGCCGAGCGACACGCCGAGCGAGGGAGCAGCAGGAGCTGTTCGTATCCTCCCACACCACACAAGCTAACGACACAATTAATATTACGAGGGGACAACGCACACACAGCACGCACACGAATAAGACTTTAAAAGAAAAACTGTCTTTTCGTTTCAAAAAGGGTTGCCATTTCGAGGTGGTGCGTTCAATATCAACTGATCGTGCAAAGCAGTTGCTGCCGTCGAGTTACATAAATGCATAAGAGTTTTCGTTATTCATATTGCATAATTGCATAATGTCACAACTGCATAAGTTTTTGTCGTTCATATTAGTTAATTGCATAATCTTGCCCATGAATTATTGACGCATGTTTGACCTGCATGATAGAATGTCACGTGCTTGTTAGAATAAAATTGTAATCCAGAAGCATATCGAGTGTTCCTTCCAAGTCCATGCAAAACTGTCTTATTCTTGACAACTGTATCCTGTGATGAGATATGAAAATGGAGACCTAAAATATTATAACACACACTAGGATAATCGGTAAATGAATCTATGATAATCGTGTTATCCTGATTGATAACTCTGGATAAACGAAACTAAGCAAATTATCATAACTGCACACATTAACATAATCGCAAGCCTCCGCATAAATTACTACGATTATCTCCGTGATTATCATAATTTATGCATATAATTACACGCATTATCATAATTTATGCATATTAATACACACACTATCATAATTAATGCGATTTGCGCATTTTTCGGAAAATTATTAATTTTTTTTTATTTTTATCAAATTTCATAATTCCAACACATACAACATAATGGGTGGCGTCGTCCGGGATCTCTCACAGACAGTGTTTTGCATGGATGATGGAATGAATCACTTCGTGTTAACCAGAATATCAGGATCGAACATTGCATGGTAATTGTGAAGTATGGACAATTGTGAACGGGCGGAAAACAAAAAACGCCCTCTAAGGTTAAAACCCAGAATAGCAGGTTAAAACAGAGACAGTGGAATTAAGATAATATCGTATCAAACCAATTGCATCCTGTGATAAATGGTGTTAGAGGTACGCACTCTGAATCGGAAAATAACAGATAGCTCGAGTCGAATTGACTACACTCTGTGAGATAATTGTTTATATGCACTCTGAAAAGAAATGTCAAAGTAACTTCCGCCATACCTAAGATGCTAGGATTAAGAATAATTTTTGAATGGGTTACGGGAAACGGGGAGCTCGTATTTAAACGTACCGACCAATCTGTTACAAAGCAGTACAGTCAGAGAGACATATGGGAAGGGAGCTGTATCGATAACACGAACACACCTCGGGGGAAACTAATTGACTGGATAAAAGGTAACGAAGGCGAACACGATGTAAAAACTGCAGGAAAGGCAGGACAGGACTCATGCCTTCTCACACAGGCATACAGACAGGGATTGTGGAATGAGGGAAAATTTGGAAAGGAAACGGGAGAGAAATCAGTGCTCGCGACACCAGCGAAACTCACAGACGTTGATCCACAGAATAAATATGGAAGTAACATTAAATCACACTCTTGGGTACGTGGACAGAGTCCAGGGACTAATCGCACAAAAATTATGGATATCGAACAAAAAATCATTGACAAAGGGAAACCCTCACAATTCGAGAGAAGGGATGGAGAGATACATATGCAAACAAAAACATGTGAGACTGACAACTTCACAGATAGAGGGAGGAAAAATGTTAAAGTAAAATCGCCAGGACATGGTACACTAAGGGCAGAGGCAAAAACTGAAGGGAAATGGCAACACGAGCGACACGGCACTGGGCGCGCACACAGAAAATGCACACCACTTAAACACAAGCGACACAGCACAGACCAAAGTGACAGATTGCCTGATGATAACTTGTTTGATGATGACGCTGTCGGCGATCAACTTTCGGAATACCTATTCACCAGTAAAACCCTTAAATTGATGGACAAGGCTCTAGTCAGAATTCCCGATTTTGACCCCCACAATAAGACTATGGATATCCACACACATATCGCAACCGTAGAAGAGGAGGCAATGATTAGAGGGCTGAGGAGACGGGATGAAAAAGCGAGTTTGTTGAAACGGACCTTACATAAAGAATCCATTCCATGGGTAAAGTCACTACCACACAAGGTTAGAAATGATTTTAAACAACTGAGCCTGGCAGTGATTCGGAAGTTTGGAGAATATTCGACACTCACTGAGGGGTTTTATGCTGTAAAATCGATGACCCAGGGCATGGACCAAGATCCACGTGACTACCTCGTCCAATTTAAAAGAGCGTATTACGCAGGC